GTTTTCACAACCTTGATCAAGTTTGAAATTTGTTTGATAATCTGAATTATGATTTGAACTTTTCTGAAAGTGCTTTGAGTCTTCGATTTGGACCCATTTTGGCTCTGATTGAGTCGAATTTGGTGTTGTTTGGATTGTCTTTTCGAGATGTTCAATTCGACTATAAGTTTTCTGAAATAAAAGTTTGGATGGTCACATATTTAATTTTTTAAGCTTCAATCTCATATATAGCATTGAGGTTCGTGCCTCGATCAAGATTAATTTTGTTGTGACACATCAATAATGACCAATTTAACATGTGATTATGAGATTTAGGATTTAGTTGAGTCAATTTTTTAATATTTATTTTTTTTACTATAATTATAATTTAGGATTTGTGAAAAAAAAAATAATTTTTAAAATCAAAATAGTTAAATTATTTTACCTACAATAACTTCATAGCCATTTTATAAAACATTACAACAATCTCAAATAGACCCATAGTTTTTATGTAATACTACTTTTAATGTTAATTTTATTTTATTTCTCAAATGAAATAAATATATTTATATGTTACATATAAATATAAATAAATATAATTTAATTTGATTACACATGTTTTCATGAGGCTTTGTTTGGAATGGCTTTTTTAATGCTTTATTCTTTAGATAGTAATCATAAATTTTTTTGCAACTACTTTTTTCACTATTTTTAATAAATTATTTGTACAAGAAAATTATTTTTTGTAACAAACTTTTAAATTTTATTTTCTCCACAACAACTTTATAATCACTTATATAAAAAGTTGAAGATGTCCCTAGTTAGGCCCTAAGTCTCACTTGGAGCAACCTATTAGGGGAAAGATGCATTCTTAAACTTGAGCCACTTCGCATAGTTCTATTAGTTCTAGCATAAGCCTCCTACTAATTGATTTGCACTATCTATTTATCTAATATGTATAATTGTTGCGGATTAAAATATATGCGGCAATAGAGTGAAAAAATACCATCTTAGCAATGTATGTATATCCAGCACACCAACAGATAGTTGAGAGAGAGAGAAAAGAAAACACTAGAAATTTTTTACGTGAAAAACCTTAAAAGGGAAAAACCACGAGGGCCTGTCCCAAATGAGAAAAATCCACTAAGTTTGGGTTGGTTAAAAAGTTTGATTCGCTCATTTACTTGGAGATGCTAGAATTACAACAAGTTGAATAATCATATAGAAATCTTGATGCACCGGTTAACTAGGACCACCCGCGGATATCCCCACACACTCCAACGGTTTGGAGTGTGCCCACTACCTTTTTATGCTTTATTTGCTAGTAACACCTTTTTATTTTGGTTTTTTTCCTTTTACACAAAAATAGTAGCAGAGCTTTACAGTTTACATATAGGTGAAAAGGAGTATTACACAGTAGACAATGTTATATTTACAAAGCTTTTTAGAGGAATACAAGGAGAATACAGAGGTTTTCCTTCAACCCTTTTCCCTCTGGTTATTTGCTGTCTAGTGCTCATTTGTTTTTTCCAGGTATCTCGATCCTGCAGAAGGCATCAATTGGTATCAGAGCCAACTTATACCTGGAAGTAGAATGACGGACAAGGGCAAAGGACCTGCGACAGAGGAGGTTCGGTCAATTGAGGCGTTGTGGGCAAACCAGGAGAACGCCAATCGCCAGATGGATGAAATCGCCGCCGATGTGCAGCGACTAGCGATTGATATACGCAGGGAGTTCAATCTCCTGCGTACTAGACCTGTGAACCAAGATCATCTCCGTGAGGAGGCCCGAGCAAATCGGCAGATACCACGGAGGAGAAGAGGCGGTGAACACTTTGGAAGACGGCATCAGTTCAACCGGCTGGAAATTTCTGATTCAGAGGAAGAGCCCGTTCTGGCGCGGGATTTGAATCCAGCGTACTCTAGCGGCGGGGAGGTGGATGATTTCGAAGTCGCAGATCCACCGCGAAATAGGCGAGCACCACAAAACCGACAGCAATTTGGGGAGTTCAAGGTGAAAATGGACATTCCATTTTTTGATGGTCATTTGCATATTGAGGATTTCCTTGACTGGGAGAAAGCTGTGGAAAACTTCTTTGATTACATGGATATAGATCCGGATAAGAAGGTTAAATATGTAGCTTGTCGGTTGAAGGCCGGGGCGAGTGCATGGTGGGAACAAACACTGCAATCACGCCGCCGAGAGGACTGTGATCGGATTCGTTCTTGGCCGCGGATGAAGCAACTGATGCGGGCACAGTTCCTTCCCACCAATTTTGAGCAAATCTTATATATGAGGTACCAGCATTGTGCTCAAGGTACCAGGTCCTTGAGTGAATACACGGAAGAATTCCGAAGGTTGAGTGCTAGGAATGATCTTAATGAGTCAGCCACGCAGTTGGTAGCTCGGTATATCGGAGGCCTCAAGGATATTATACATGATCAATTGGAATTGAATTCCGTTTGGCCGATGCCGCAAGCCATCAATCTGGCCCTGAAGATTGAGGTACAACAAAATCGCAAGCCCAAGACGCCGTATTATCGACGACATTGGCAAGAGCCGAACTCCACTGCTAATAAGGCGCCTTCACCATCAGCCGTGAGATCTCCTACTTCCACAGAAACCGCAACAACTCAGCCCACTCCCTCAGGAGTAACAATTGAGGGAAAAGTCATACAGAAGCCAAGAGGAGCCAACTCAACTAATCCGTATGCTAAGCCCTCTAACCTCAAGTGCTTTCGTTGTTTCCAGCCCGGACACAAGTCCAACGAGTGCCCACAACGACAACAAGTGCATATGGCCGAACTGGAGGAGGGAACGGACTCAGATCATTCAGCCTCTGAATTGGCAGAGGAAGCCGTTGATGTTCAAGCAGATGAGGGCGATCCTTTTATTGGGGTCATGGGAAATTATTGTTGGCTCCCCGTCACAGTGGCCGGTCTCAACGCCATGCCATCTTTAAGACCAGGTGTACTTTCAATGGCAAAGTGTGCGACTTGCTCATAGATAGCGGCTGCACCGAGAACATTGTATCCAAGGCAGTCGTCCAAGGGTTGCAATTAAAGACGACCAAGCTTTTACACCCCTACAAGATCAGTTGGGTAAAGAAAGGGATGGACATCGCCGTCACCGATTCTTGTCATGTGACGTTTTCCATTGGGAAGAATTACTCCTGCGAAGTCCTATGTGACGTTCTAGAGATGGACATATGTCACTTAATTTTGGGAAGGCCTTGGCAGTTTGATGTGGGTGTTCAATATGATGGCAGAGCAAATGTCTATTCCCTCAACTGGAAAGGAAAGAAGTTGCGGCTATTACCGGGGCCGACCGAGACACAATCTGGGAATAAGGCTGCTATCCACTTCGTCTCGGGTCACAATTTAATTCAAGAGTGGCGAGACCAGGCGCCCATGTTCGCTTTACTCGTCACCGAACCGAACAATCAATTGCAGCAGCATAATGTCCCGGCAGATATTTCAAAATTTTTGGAGAGCTATCGAGATGTGACGCCGGATGTTTTGCCCTCCGAACTGCCCCCATTGTGGAGTATATAGCATCAAATTGATCTAATTCCCGGCGCCACACTACCCAATCTCCCTCATTACCGCCTAAACCCCAAAGAGCAAATCATCCTGCAAGAGTTGGTTGACGAATTGCTTACAAAGCAATTAATACAAGTGAGCCGCAGCCCTTGTGCAATTCCGGCGTTGCTCGTGTCGAAGAAGGATGGTAGTTGGCGAATGTGTGTTGACAGCCGTGCCATCAACAAAATCACGATTAAGTACCGCTTCCCCATGCCACGGGTTGATGAGTTGTTAGACCAACTGACCGGATCAACAATCTTTTCCAAAATCGACCTACGCAGCGGATACCATCAGGTTCGGCTTCGACCTGGTGACGAGTGGAAAACAGCGTTTAAAACGCCTCAGGGACTCTATGAATGGAAGGTAATGCCGTTTGGATTGTGTAATGCACCTTCAACGTTCATGAAGATCATGAACGAGATACTAAAACCACATTTGGGAAAATTTTGTATCGTCTACTTTGACGATATCTTGGTCTATAGTGTAGATCGACCACTCCACCTTCAACATCTGAAGGTCCTATTCGACATCCTCCGTGAACAGAAATTATATGTTAACCTGCCCAAATGTGAGCTGGCCACCGCAAGTGTCAACTTCTTGGGATTCATTGTCTCGGGTGGCGGCATCCATGTTGATCCACAGAAGGTTTCTGCTGTTAAGGAGTGGCCACAACCCAAGTCCTTCTTTGATATTCGGAGCTTCCACGGTCTGGCAAACTTTTACCGACGCTTCGTAAAAAATTTCAGCATAATCATGGCACCAATAACTGAATGCCTTAAGCTCAAGGCATTTAACTGGGGAACCGAACAAGAGCTTAGCTTCAACAAAATCAAAGAAGCACTTACGACAGCCCCAATTTTAGCCCTCCCGAGTTTCGAAAAGCTCTTCACAGTTGACACGGATGCGTCGTCAATTGGTATTGGTGCAGTGCTGTCACAAGAAGGTAGGCCTGTCGCTTATTTTAGCGAGAAACTATGTCCGGCAAGGAGGAATTGGGCGGCATACGAACAGGAGCTGTATGCGGTTGTCCGGGCACTGAAACAATGGGAATCTTATCTCTTACACCAGGACTTTGTTTTGTGTAGTGATAACAAAGCTCTCCAGCATATAAATACCCAAAAAAATATCAGCCGAATGCATGCTTGTTGGCTAGTCTTTTTACAAAGATTTTCGTTCACTTTGAAGCACAAGCCTGGCACTGAGAATCGCGTCGCCGATGCTCTAAGTCGGCGGGCTATATTACTCACATGGATGCAAGCCGAGCTTGTGGGTCTAGAGCATGTCACCGAATTGTATGCAGATGATGAGGATTTCGCCGCCATCTGGGCTAAGTGCCTACAGTCCTCCCACTGCGAGGAGTATTCAATCCGGCAAGGATTTCTTTTCAAGCACCACCTCTTATGCATTCCGATCTCTTCATGGCGCCAACATTTGATTTGTGAGACCCACTGCGGAGGACTTGCGGCGCACCTGGGACAAGATAATACTCTCCGTCAACTACAAGCTCGTTTTTATTGGCCACGCCTTCGGCGTGATACTCTCCGATTTGTGGAAAGCTGTGCCGTTTGCCAAGCATATAAGGGGGGAGCACAAAACAGTGGGTTATACATGCCTCTACCGGTACCGAAATCTATTTGGGAAGACATCAGTATGGACTTCGTCTTGGGCTTACCGCGGACTCGGCGAGGCAATGACTCGATCCTGGTGGTGGTTGACAGGTTCTCTAAAATGAGCCATTTTCTTTCTTGTAAAAAGACTTCTAATGCTCTCAATATTGCAACTCTTTTCTTTAACGAAGTCGTTCGTTTACATGGCCTACCAAAGAGCATTACCTCAGATAGGGACGTCAAATTCATCAGTCATTTTTGGCGTGAGCTGTGGAAGCGCCTAGGTACTGATCTAAAGTTTAGCTCCGCCTATCATCCCCAACCCGACGGCCAGACGGAAGTCGTAAACCGGACATTAGGCAACATGCTTCGCTGCCTCGTACATGAATAGCCGAAACAGTGGGAAGAAGTGCTTGCCAAGGCGGAATTTGCCTATAACGCGATGCCTAATCGCTCTACCGGAAAGGCCCCATTTGACATAGTTGACACTAAAGCTCCTAATACTGTTCTTGATCTTTCAATTGTCCCTAAATTTCATTCACAGGCCGCCGTCTCTTTTACTCAAGACTACTCTCAGATGCTTGCTGAAGTTCGACAGCAAATTATCAAATCAAACGCTCGTTACAAAGCGGCTGCAGACGTCCACCGAAGGGAGCGTCTATTCAAGGAAGGGGATTTAGTTATGGTCCGTCTTCGTCGCGAGCGGTTTCCACCAGGAGCTTATTCGAAGCTCGCAAAGAGGAAGATCGGCCCTGTTCCAATTCTTGCCAAAATCAACGATAATGCTTATCGTATTGAATTACCAGCTGACTGCAACACTTCTTCCACCTTCAATGTAGCTGATATTTCGCCGTATAAACCTGCGGATGACGCCATTGTCTTAATTAGCTCATCGGAGTCGAGCTCTTCTGAAGCTGGGGAGGACTAATGCACCGATTAACTAGGACCACCCGCGGATATCCCCACACACTCCAACGGTTTGGAGTGCGCCCACTACCTTTTTATGCTTTATTTGCTAGTAACACCTTTTTATTTTGGTTTTTTCCTTTTACACAAAAAAAAGTAGCAGAGCTTTGCAGTTTACATATAGGCGAAAAGGAGTATTACACGGTAGACAATGTTATCTTTACAAAGCTTTTTAAAGGAATACAAGGAGAATACAGAGGTTTTCCTTCAACCCTTTTCCCTCTGGTTATTTGCTGTCTAGTGCTCATTTGTTTTTCCAGGTATCTCGATCCTGCAGAAGGCATCAAATCTAGCAATGATTGATGAACTGGCGGAAGTAAGAGCTTTGGCGACGGTCCAGAAGAAACTACGCTAGTGATAAGGAAGAAAACTCCAACGATGGTTGGGAGGAAACTTCGGCAATGGTCGTGAAGAAACTCCAACAACGGTCGGGAAGAACTCTGGCGACAGTTGGGAAGAACTCTAGCGGTGGTTGGCAAGAACTCCGGCGGTGGTCGGAAAGAACTTCAAGAGTGGTCGGTGGCAAGAGAGCTCCAACATAGGTTGGGAGGAACGTCGGCGGAGGTCGGTAAGAACTCTAACAGTGGTTGGGGACAAGAGAGCTCCAACGACGGTTGGGAGGAACACCGGCGGTGGTCGGTGATAAGAGAGCCCCAACGACGGTCGGGAGGAACGCCGGCGGTGGTTAGGAGGAACTCTGATGGTGCCCGGTGGCAAGAGAGATCCAACGACGGTTGGGAGGAACGTTGACACTGTGGTCGGTTGCAAGAGAGCTCATAAACTCCACTATTCCAAACCCCCCCCCCCCCCCAAGCGAGAAGAGTGGAGGTTATTTATAGTTTTTTAGAGTGTCATGTCTTGTAATTATGTGAATGATTAAGGTCAAAATAAGAGTGTTTTGAATGGACGACTGATATTGAACACCTTGATCGTGGACCATTTAATGGTCATTTGAATGTCTTAATTATATCAGAATTTAGTGATCTTTGGCTTGTTGGATTGGTCTTGTCGAGCCGCTCGATTCGACTATAAGCATATCACGTTTGGTAATTCAGATTATGGTTTGAACCACTCCAAACACGCTTTGGGTCATTGATTTGGACTCTTTTGAGCTCGGATTGAGTCGAATTTGGTGTCGTTGGGTTCATATTTTTGAAACGTTCAATTTGATTATAAGTTTGCTGAAATTTGAATTCAGATGGTCTCCGCTTTAACTTTTTGAAATTTCTAACTTAATTTTGCCTCAAGATCAAGATAATTTTTTTTACTGATATATCAATAATTTTATGACTCTTTTGTGGATGATTAAACAAAACTCGCTCCAGCTTAACTACTTATATATATTAATCTAATTTTAATAATCTTTAGCTTCTCGTAATAAAGAAATGATTATTTAATATTCCAGCTCAGTTACAAAACATTTCGTCATTTCCTACTCAGAACATCCAAAGGCCTAAGCCATATATCCACCCAGAGGCTGCCAAAAGTCGGCGTGGTAAGACGCCGTCTTTTTTGTTTTTAAAACGCACTCAATACTCTTTCCTCGACCCTGCACGGACCGCCGTCCCATCTAAATTATAAATGAAAGTTATAGAATAATAAAAAACGAAGACCGTTTCGGGCATTGTAGCGCCGGAGGTGACGAGGGGTCAAGTTCTTAAACGGCTATAGAGAGAATGGCAGGGTGGAAGTAGAGGACAAAGTAAAAGGGCAAACAGTGTACTGTTCTTCTAACAACGCTCCATCCCCATGGAAAAGCTGCGGAGCTCGCGGCCATGGAGGAGGCCGATTAATGGGTCCTCAATATTAGCGGGGTCCGATTATAACACGGCGTCCTTCTCTGTGCAGCTAGATGATTATTCTGAGATATTCGACGCTGCAGCCTCTGCCTCTTCAATCCCTGTTCTTGACCTTTCTGTGACTGAAAGCGGTTTCGAGATGGTGGGCGACGCCGGCGCCGGTGGGTGCAGAGCCGGCGTTGACTATTCTGATATATTCGGGAGTTTTGGCGGTGGAGGCTTCGCGGTTTCGTACGAGGAGTTGTTCGCCGAGCCGAAGAGTTCGGGGGTTTCTTCTTCGGAGAACAGGTTAGTTTGGGCTCATTTTTTTCCACGGAAGCCTCTTCTTCTACCGTCAACTCTGTGTTTTATCATATTTAGGATTGATGATGATATGTAGTTACCTTCTTGTGTAAGGCACCGATGGAAAAGAAAAGAAAATTATTGCTCTTTGCAGCTTTGGATATGTTTCGCGAAGAGCTGCAACAGAAATGTGTTTCTTCACATGGTTGTTTTGAGCATATCTGTTTCTTCGCCGCTGTCATTACCTAAGCATGTTATTGTTTTTTAAAACTTTTTTCTTCATGGTTGCCATTGGTATAAGCAGTTAATGGTGTATATATTTAACCGGTTTTTAGCTCAAAACCTCTGATGTTTGTTCCTCAAAATTTGTTTGGAGAGCACTGGGCAATTGTGGTTAAAGAAGAACTAAAAGTCTGAAACTGGGCTTGTTTTCCAGTTTCGAGCTGTCTACTGAAGGAGTATGCCAACTAGTAGGCTTTTATTGTTTTAATGCAGGGCAGGAATAAGTTCTTTGTGAAGTTCTCTATGCCCTCAAGGACTAGGAAAATCTTCTTGGAGTGCCATAATTATTATGGGAACTGTCTATGAGGCTTTTGTCTGGTGGAAAATTGTATTATCTGTCTGGATATTTCTGTCTGCAGAACAAATATAAGAAGGATTCTCCTGAGATTACATAATATTGGAGGTTTATGATGATAGATCGTCTGCTATATTTTTTTCTTTTGTTTTGTGTGTTGGAGTGTGTGGGTGGGTGGGTGTTAAGTCCAATGGAGTACATATTTCATTTCCCATGTAAATGTGAAGCACACTCCCTGATATGCTAATTCATTTTCTCTAGTGCATCAAACTTATAATATCGGTAATGATATGTTTCTTTTTAGGCTTCATTTGGAAGGGCTTTTTGATGCTTATTAAAGCATACTTTTATTACAAAAATTTAAATTTTTATACTAGAAAGCTGCTTTATGGAGCAACAAGAAAGCCGTCCCAAACGAAGCCTTAATTTCTTGGTCCTAAAGTTGCACTTTTTAACTTTTTTCAGAAGTTTTAATCCATTTTTTCTCTCTAAATATATAGGACTCGATGGGATTTATTGTCTGAACAACAGAAGAAAAAAGCCTCAGAACACCCACTGAAAGTTTATACTGAGAATAATGAGCCAATTTTGGAGAAGAACCATCATTCATCATTTCCTAAACAGTCAAATGATAATGGTTCAAAGAATTTCAGCATGGCGTACCACACAATTAGCAGGGAAAAATTTGATGATGTTGTAAGTGATAAAGATGCAAGTGATCCTGTACATGAGAGTAAAAACAAAACAGTTAACAGACAAACCGTTGTCAACACAGGTACCAAGGCTTCAGCCTACTTTCCCTCTACCTCAAAGAATTTTTCGGTTAATCCCATGGAGTCTAATTCTGCTTCCCTGCTAGATGTTCCAGCAGATGAGAAACACAATTCACAATCTTATAGCTACCATTCAACATCAAGTGGCTATGTGCCGTTACATGATGTTGCATACTTGAAGGTATCAGAAATTAGTCTACAAACAAATCCTTTTAAAGGGGCGCCACCTTCAAGACCGCCTCCTAAGCTATCTATGAAGCCAGAGCACCCGAAAGCCTTGTCTGCAGATTCCAGATTTGAAACAGAAGAAAGAAGCTCTCTGAAATCTGAGGCAAATGACCAACTGAATTTCACCAGTGAAGCTACCAATATCCATAAAATTGATGAATCTATGAAAGGCATCGCTTTTTCACCTGATGCTGAAGTGGATCCTAGTTCAGCTGCTGCAGTTTCTATAGCTGCTATAAAAGAGGCAATGGAGCAAGCTCAGGCTCGACTAACAAGGGCAAAGAAATTGATGGATAGAAAACGTGAAAAATCACACTGGAAGGTTGGTCCGCTTCGAACTATGGGTAGTAAGGAAGATGGAACTGCTGGCAATGACGTAGAACTGAAAAGTAGGAGCAAAGTGATTGATGCAAATAACTTGCTTAAGGATAGTAACACGATTAGTGAATCTACAGCTGTGGAAAGGGAAGAAATCAGGAGTGCAGGGAAAATACCTTTGAGCCACGGGGAGATAAAAATGCAACTTTTTTCATATAGAAAGGACCAACAACAGGTGCGTAAAGAGAATGCATCCAAATCATTTGTGGAAAGAGAAGAACTCAAAACTGTAGAGAAAATACCTTTGAATCATGAGGAGAGAAAAATGCAACTTCCTTCGTACAAAAAGGACCAACAACTGGTGAGGAAAGAGAATGCATCTAAATCATCTGAATTGGAGTGTGAAATAGTTGAAATTGCTGGGGAATGGAAGACAGATAAGGATTATTATAAGCTGCCAAGGAATGGTAGTTTGTTGAATACAGTCAATGATGTCAGCATTCAAGAAGATGAAAAAACAGCAAAATCAGCCATCTGTTCTGATGAAGACAAAGAAAAATATAATAAAGATTCCGAACAAGCTATTGAAGTTGAAGAGAAACAGAAATCAATGGAAGTTAGTGTATGCATTGAAAAGTTAGAAAAAGATAACATGTTAAAAGTATTTAGCATGGATTGCATGGATGAGGCTTACAAGAATTTAGCAGATGCAACGATGGATTCATTTCTGCTTAAAGACCATGCCAGTGAACTCGAAAAGGATATTGGTTCTCTTCAATCTGCTGAAAATCTGAAGCAAAGTGAGGCCCATAAAGATAATAACATTGAGAACGATGCTAACAAAACCGGTTTTGTTGTTGATTATTGTCTGTATAAAGATAATGTAAATAAGTTAGTAAACGAAGTCAATGACGAAGTGAAAGTTCAGAATGAAACTCTTTTCCACGATATATTTGAGAAGGAAATTAAAGAGCTGGATGAGTTGTGCACATTTGATGAAACAGACAAAAATAAAGTAGATGTAGAAAGAAAACCAGGGAACAATTATGAAAATGAAACAAGAAGCATGAAATATCAGTACTCTTACAATGCATACAAATGCGAGGTTGAGGATAGTAATAATGCAGCTGAGAAGGATGAGGGTGATAAATTCCAAATAAATGAAGAGGCCCGCATTTTAGTGGAAAATAAACTTGAACGAGAGGCGATTCAAGATGAAAATAGGCTGAAAAATGGTTTGGAAATGCCCGAAGCACAAGAAAAAATGAAAGATGAAGAACTTGAACAGGTATTAAACTCTACTGAAGGGACCTATTGTAAAGATTGCAATGAAAAGGAAACAAGAGATGTTCCATCTGTGCTCCAGCAAAATAAGGAATTAATGGGAGATCTCATGAATCAGGACGTGAAGAATTATGAATTCCTAGCTTCAGCTGATGATGCTTGTGGTGAAAGGGTGAGTGAGAACATAACAGAAGTTGAGGAATCAGATACCAGGAAGGTCTTTTTGTCTAGAAAGGAAGTCAGCTTGCTGGCTACAGCTCTGGATGCAACAGAAGTTTCTCATGTTGACAAGGCTGGGAATCATAAGTGTACAGAAGTTGAGGAAAATAATAGTAAGATGAATGTAGGCAGGGAAAGGGAGAAAGAGCCGGAAACAAACCTAGAAGAGAAAAACCTGGATATAGAAAGAGAAAGAGAGAGGATTGCAGTGGAAAGAGCAAACTATGAAGCTCATCAGCAGGTACTTGCTGAAGCCCGGGTAAAGGCAGAAAAAATTGCAGTAGAAAGAGCCACAGCTGAAGCAAGGCAAAGAGCACTTGCAGAAGCCCTACAAAAGGCAGAAAAAACTGCTGAAGCTGAGAAGGCTTCTAGGGAAGCAAGATTAAGAGCCGAGCGCGCTGCAGTTGAACGAGCTACAGAAGAGGCTCGCAAGCGTGCCATTGAGAAAGCACTAGCTGTGAAAGCTTCCGCTGATTCAAGAGAGCGCACAGCTCAATTTAGTGCCTCTAATAAAGACAGGCTGAGGAAAGATAATAGGAGAGAGTATTTCAGGGCTTCTCATATTAAGGAAGATTCTGATGCAAAATACAAACCAAATTTAGATGTAAGCAGAAAATATGCAACGTTTGCAATTTGATTCTACCATTTCAAATGGATCTTATGATTAGCTGTTCTTGCAGAAAATTCAACGGAATGCACAATCTCAAACTGCTAGTAGTTCTACCAATAACCACATATATTCAGATTCTCACAATAATGGTAATTTTTTGTTTTTTAATATTACTTATTCACAAAGCTCAACTATTAAATTGTTTTCTAAGACCAAATAGTCTAGTTTCCCTCTTTCTCATCTTCTAGTCATTATTTCTTTATGTGAATTCTAACGGCAACTTCTGAAGTAGGGAATGGAGCCGAGTCAAAGTTGTCATCTAAAGCAAGACAAGAGAGGCAACAGCAGACAGCTGAGCGTGCTGTAAGCTCAAATTTGATTATCGCCCTTTGATTGTGTCGTACAATTTATTTTTTTGTTAGATTTAATGCTGCAACTCTGATGTTTTTATAGCTAATTTACAGTCAAAAGCGCTTGCTGAAAGGAATATGCGTGATATTCTTGCTCAAAGAGAACAAGCGGAACGTGATGTAAAATTTACTCCCATGTTCTAACCAATCTTATATTTGTTTGATGTTAGAATTCATAATAACTTCCAGTATGTAACTTTGGTTGCAGCGGTTGGCAGAATCACTGGATGGTGAGGTGAGGAGGTGGTCAAGTGGAAAAGATGGGAATTTGCGTGCATTGTTGTCGACACTACAATATGTATGCCCTTCTTATTTTCTGTTGGACTGTCTTTTATAATGCAATTTTGCCTGTTGCAACACATTTTGATTGTTTAACAACTACCCGCCTTGGGCATATGCGGAATAATACTGATAGTTGAAAAACAATACACTTGGACAATATGGGCTCCGAAAATTTGAGTTTTTGGACCCCGACTTGTCCACATTATATTCGGGGAGAGTTTTAACAAATGAAGTTCCGGGAGAAATTTTCTGAAGGTAGATTAGATAGAGATAAAACAATACCCAGAAATTTCACCCTCTTAGCGAGGACTTTAAGATCTGAGTTCTGATTTCCTATAGACGTAAGCCCTTATAGTTAGTTATGCCTCCCAATAATGAGAGAGAACTTTCGATTAAGGATACTCGTTGAACACAAAACTCATAATACTCATGCTTATGAAAGAATTAGACACTTACCACAAGTACATCAATGCACTCATGAATATAGTTCGAAAGATATACGGCAAATGCAACAAACAGATACAAGCATAAGAGCTCCTACGAGCTATTATAGAAGACCCCTATGCATCTAATGTGTTGTCCACAAGCAAACCTAAAGGAGTTCTAATGACAAGCTATTCTAATGTAGTCCTACCTAGAAACAGCAGTTTGCCTACTTTGGTGAAAACGAGTAACAGAGGTTCGAGTAAAAGCTTTTGGGAAAGAAATGATCTACTGTTCCTGCCCATTATAACGGGGCATTCTATTCGTCCCACAGCTTCATGTGCAGTGAAGACAAGGACAAGCTTCCCTCTCCCTCACAGTTTCCTTTCGCGGATTCTCTAAGAGCGGCATCCACATGATCAGAAAAGTGCATGTAAGCAAAGCATTAAGATACAATAGTTGTGATAACTCTCCCATAGCCAACGTTAGTTTACAAGCAAATGCACCGACCTACTACAAGGGGAGGTGGATGATGTGCAGTGAATGCGAGTGTCCATAGGTGATTGTAGAAGGCTTGCCAGCCACAAGTGAAATGCAAAAATGGCTACATCAAATACAAATGCCTACGAGCCACTGCAAGGATGTCATGTGTACAACACAATATCTGCATTCAAATGCAGTAAGGACTGTAGTAGCTACAAACACCTATTAGCAATGAGGGAGACTTTGCCACATGTACAGTGATATATGTATGGGTAGTGATCAACAGCTGTGGATGTTAAAATACCCCATAATCAACTACCATGTAAATGATCAGCAAAGATGTTGATTCATCACAAACAGGAAGGGTGATATGCAACAAATGTAAATGCCTACGAGCTGCTGAAGGAGGCCCATTATACATTCAACTTGCTATCTGCTAGCAAATGTGGAAGAACTGCAATAGAAACAAGCATCTATAATCAGAACAGGAGATTCGTTAGTGCACTACAATCCACCGGTAGGAAACAACAAGTAGTGCACGACAGTCTACATGTACAAAACGGTCAAATGACCACAGTACAACGCCATGCCACTGAATCTGCAACACTTGTACAAGCAGACAAAAGACGTCAACCAAGCCCAAAATAAAACCTCATGCATTTGATAGTGATTGTCACCTATGCAGCCGAAAACCCCTTCGTATTACATGCAAATATCATAGAATGCCCCCATGCATGCACTGTAATGTGTATGCACATAGGTACACAGAAAAACAAGTGCAATCACAAAACTCGCATGGGCCCCGACGAGCGTGTTATAGGTACAAACGTGACATTTATAGGGATGTTGCGCGACTCAATAAATGAACCACAATTCGAGCTCGATCCTTCTATATGGATAGATAGGAGTCGACACGGCTCGAATTATCAAACAAATAGTCGACCGAAATATTTTTTTTTATGCATTCATATAAGGCCTTCAAGGTCTATGAACAAAGAAATTCATTAATAAAACATAAAACCTATAAAACCTGATCTTCTGTCAATAGCTCGACATAATCGACATGATTTAATCCATAAATGAAAATCCCTCTAACCACCCTGATGATGGCCATATTGAATGCAGATCTCAACCGAAGAGGTTAATTTTAAATATTTCATAATGCACTCAAACTTCAACAAAATTCAAATATTTTCAAGTGGCATCAAAGTCACCCCCGATGATGGCTATGTTGAATGTAGATCTCAATCGGAAGGGTTAATTTTAAATATTTCAAAATGCCCTCAAACTTTAACAAAACTCAAATATTTTTAAGTGACCTCAAAGTCACCACGATGATGATCGTGTTGAATGTAGATCTCAACTAGAGAGGTTAATTTCAAATACTCAAAATACCACCCAAATACTTATAAAATTTAAAGCTCCAAAAATCTAAAATCATTCCAAAATCTTGATATTTAAAATCGAAATCAATCATCAATCACTTAAAGCAAAATCCATCAATCCTCCTCAACAGTTTGTCGATTTGGACAAATTAAAAATCATTTTAGCTCACAAAGAGGTAATGTCTGGTTGTGAATATCACTATGATTCATTTTTAAAACAGTTTTATGCCATTAAGGACGTGGTACGTGTCCTCTAACTGACATTTTCGCCGCCAAATGGAATCATAGGTAAAAAGTTATGACCCAAGGCCCTCTGAACCGAGTGGTTTTGGCTCCAAATGGCACCACTAAATTATGATTATGGTCAGAGTCAATACGTTTCTTAGTGGCATCAAATTCTTGAGATATGAATCAATAGGATATCATTGATATGGCACAAAGCCCTCTGTTAGCTAAGGTGAATTCAAATTTGTCCCCTTATGCAAATATTCCCCCTAGGTCTATAAGGTACCATTGGACGACGCAACCCATGGATGTTGACAAGGATCCTTGTGTCAAGTTGGATCGACTACCTCCTATGACTAAGTAGACCAGGGATCATGACGGCCTGGGACGACGGAATTATGGGATTTTGATCGAGTCCATCATCCATTCCCCCACCATCTAGTTTAAGTGCAAAATGGTGAAATTTCTAATTTTAAATATCAAATTTTCAACCACCCAAACCCATGCTGCTACTATATGCCAGATAACACTTATCTTTACATATCTGATTGACGACTAGCCTTAATCGAAAGTTCCCTCTCATGAGTGGGAGGGATAATTAATTATAGGGGCTTGCGCCTATAGGAAACCAAAACTCATATTATAAAGTCCTTGCAAAATGAGTGCGAAATCGTGAATAGTGTCTTATCTACAAACTCATATGCCTTCCCAAAATTTACCCCGAAACTTTATCCGTTAAAACTCCCCCTAAAAAGCAACGGGTTGGGGGGGGGAGGGTGGTGAATTTTCGTAGCCCACATTTCTTATGCAATTTCTTTGGCTTATACAAAGGCTTATAGTGTATTTTATGAGAATTTTATGATGATGAATGAAAATTACTTCCACGAATGAGGAATATAAACCTTGTTAAGTTTAAAATTTGCAGGAAAATGATGGAACCCCACCTAGTCGATTCGGTTCTTTATTTCTTTACTTATTCTATCCAAATTTTGATCCTTTAAAGCTCTTTATCTGTCCTACACCATCCTTAGCTCCTTACCTAGATAACTCACACGCGTGAATTTTTCTGTTTTTTGCTTCACTTAGTTTCACATAGGGTTTCAAATGAATCGTGCAAAGCCAAGTAGGAGCGTACTCAAGCTTGAGCTCATTTGCCAAACTCATTTCTAGTTCGAGCTCTATCTCGATTCAAGTATTTACAATAGTGTTCTGATGTGGGGAGAATCACCAAAGAAGCATGATGGAGAAGAAGGAGAAGAGCTAAACAGCTCTTGGAGACCAAAAACAGTGAAAACTGTTTCAAATTCCAAAAATACTAATTCATGCTTTTCTTCTACTTATAGCAGCTATTTATAACAATATAATAGAAATGCCTAGAACTCTCTAGAAAAAGGTACTAAATTAGATAAACTATTCCTAAGGTCCTCTTTAACTAAGATGCACCGCATCATGTTCAAGCTAGGTCATTTAAAATTATGGCTACTTGAGCTTGGCTTTAGCTTAGCTCTTTAGTTAATCAAAAAAGCCTTATCACGCATACTAACGAGCAATACCATCTAGTAGTTTGTTAGTTAACCAAATAAGCCTTATTAAGCCTATTAATGAGTAGCCCATTAAGCTTAAAAATAATACTTTAATTGAATGAAATACTACATAAACAAACATTTTAACGAGTATAATAAAATAACTTGTGCTAATGAACAAAATCAATTTAATGTATAAAAGAATACATTTCACCTTTGAATTGTCTTCATTGGCCTCTTTTTGTTGGGCTGTAGAAGCTCTTGTTGTAAGATTGTAGCTCTCTTTTCCCTACACCTTTTTTGGTGTCGTAACTCCTTCAGTTATGTCTCTTTTGTGGTTACGGTTTTTATAATTCTATGACTTCTCTTTTTGTAGTTCCTTATATAAAGTGACAAATTTCTCATTTGTCCAACAAATATTTTTTTTCAAAATATTGGTATTCTGACTGTGATTGGAAAGTGCTAACAATTGCTTCTACTAATCTCTTAGCAGATCCTCGGCCCTGATAGTGGTTGGCTACCAATTCCTCCAACAGATATCATGAATGCATCTGCTGCGAAGAAAGCTTATCGGAAGGCTACTCTTTGTGTTCATCCAGATAAACTGCAACAAAGGGGTGCCACAATTCAACAGAAGTATATTTGTGAAAAGGTGTTTGATCTCCTTCAGGTATGATTATTTAGAGAGAATTTACTTGACTACTCCTTGTCTAATTTTTTTTGTCAAACTAGTAAATTAAGAACTTAAGTTTTCATGTACAAAGATAATATTTAACATACTTCAGGCAACCCAAAAAATATGAATAAGCAAACATAGTGTTATTTGTTGACTATTAATATTGTGAAATTTCCACACTCGCCAAGATGTTCTATAGCTTGAACGGAAATTACTCAATCCAATTTCAATTTTGTGAGTGCAGATTCAATGCTTTATTCATTTGAGTGTGATAAAAATGCGACTACTTAATTTATGTAGAAGTCATTTTCTTGTATAAACGTTAAGACCTGATTTCTTCTTACTTTCATCATTTCAATTACTGTTTATTTCTCCTATATATATATTTTTATTGATTATTTTAGTACTCTTGATTTTAGCCAAAAAGTGCTTAGTTAGAAAAATGATTTTATGAAAATTAACTCGTGTTTTTAAATTAATGCTGAAATTTTTAGGTTTTTACAATCATTTTATTATCATCTTAAAAACCTAAAAATTTTAGCAATAATTTAAATAACAACAAAATCAAGCCTTTAACGCACTACGTGGGGTCGGGTACATGAATCTAGGGGTGTCAATTTATGACACGACCCGAACTCGACCCGGAAAAATCCGGGTTCGGGTTGACCCGGTTAGCAAACGGGTCGGGTTCACATTTTTGACCCATTTGTAAAAACGGGTCGGGTTCGGGTTGACCCGGAAACCCGAAATCAACCCGAAGTTGACCCGGGTCCGAGTTCGTTTGCCCAGTCTAGCCGCCCTAGCCTGCTTCCCGCTTCCGCAATCTGGGCTCAGTGCAGCAATCCGGGCTCAGTTTCTTAGGTTCTCGCTTCCGCAATCGGAAATTCGGGCTTCCCGCCCAGCCGCCCTAGCCCCTAGGCGCCTAGCCTGCTTCCCGCCTTCCCGCTTTCGCTGTTGAGCAGCTAAGCTGTTCCGCATGCGCCCAAGCCCCAAGTCCCAATGGATGAATCATGAATGGACCGTGTCCCAACTCCCGATCCACTGAGTCACTGACGAACCAACTCCAAGTCCACGCGGACCACGCCACGCCCATGTGGGCCATGTGGCACAACCGCACGATGGCACGCCTGCAGCGCGCCAGCGCCCAAGTCCCAAGCTCACGCGCACGCGCCCAAGTCTGTCCGCTCAGTTCGCATTCCTGTTTCCGGGTCGGGTCGGGTCAACCCGACAACCCGGTGGGTCGGGTCCGGGTTGTATTTTCTGACCCGTTTACAAAAACGGGTCGGGTTAGGGTTGACCCGAACAGTGACGGGTCAGTTCCGGGTTCGACCCGACCCGAACCCGACCCGTGACCCGAAATTGACACCCTTACATGAATCCTTTCTCTATTGTGTCCGATTAAGGGTCAAATTCTCATTTAAATCTAATAAAGAAATGTCATTTGAATTGACCTTCCGATGACCCGGTCAGGAGAGTAGATGTATTAGATTTAGCTTATGTTAAAAAAGATAGAAGTAAGCCTAAAAAGACTTGATTAGAAAATATTAGAACTGACATTTATGATTTAAATGAGAGTTTGACCCTTAACCGGATATAATGGAGAAAAATGATCCATGTAGCCAACCCCACGTAGTGTGATAAAAGCTTGTTGTTGTTGTTTAAATTATTGCTGAAAATTTTAGGTATTTACAAGCATTTTTTTATCATTAAGGTATAAAGTATAAGTGAAATTATCAAAAAAGTATCCTGCTCTTCTACAGTGAGGACATATAGTTAGCAAAGTGTGAGATCCTTAGCATGGAAAAACAACCATCCTTGCATAGAACTATCAATAGCAATTTCTATATAGTATATTTTTGATGTAATTCTTTCAATCACCATTTTTCAGTCCTTCAAAACATTGTGTTAGCATTTAAAAAATATTGTAATTAGTCTCCTCCATCTTTTTGCTGTAATTTGAAAAGGGCCATCTAAACTTGCAGGAAGCTTGGAACAAGTTCAATTCAGAGGAGCGATAGCAGAGTCCTGGTACTTCATTTCCTTCTATTGAAGCGTTAATGTTTTCGCCATTGAATCCTGTCGATGAATCATAGTGGTTCATAGAATCACTAGTGAATGAGCAGAGCTAATGGCCGGCGTAGCTGAACTGGTTTTGAAGAAAGAATCCGTTAGAAGGGACACACAAAACTAGGAAGCAAATACAAACTCAAGGCTCAAAAGGATCGTCAAGTTATGTTTTAAACTATATGTTGCTCCAAAAGAAGCCTATATTGAAGTATAAATTGAAGATAAAAATGTAGTACGGCAAAGTTTATTCTCGTGATAGTTTATTAGTTCTTTAAGAGCATCTCCAATGGAACGGTCGTTCTTCTGTCACTCCAACCGAGCGGCAATTCTTATATCATTTCATCGCGGATGAACAGTGCAACGCTAATATTGGTGTTGCATTGTTTATCTTCCCAATTTTTTTGTCTCTAACGAACTTGCCGAAGAAATGAGCAAAAGAAGAGAACGATCGTTATGGGAAAAAATGGAGTTCGATTGGAGATGAATCACGAAATTTTTTAGTTTTACGATATTTTAGAGTGAAAAATGAAATTTTCGGTTAGAGATGCCCTAACATAAATCCATCATAAGCCATAACGAATTTTCATCCATAACCTTTTTTTGGGTAAAAATCTCAAATAGATCACTCAATTGCCTTTACATAAAAAATGTTTATTTTATTACGTTGCAATATTTTAAGTACGAATATTTTTTTCTTTTTTTACTTAAAGCCCTTAGCAAGCTGGAAGCAAATAAGAAGAAGGTATTGCCATTAAGCCATAACGCGTGCAAGAAGCCAACAACATATTAGAAGTACCAGGCTACTGTTAGTTAGCTGTTATTTGGAAAAAAAAAATTAGCAGGACATATTGATCAAAATTTAATTATATCTAATGAGTTTCTGTACACTAATGTTAAGATAATTCATAAAATTTTAAGATTTTCTTTGGGACTTTATTTTTCCTGTTTATTAAACAGTTTTTTAATTTAAAAAAAAATATTTTAAATTTTTTTAATTTAAAAATTACTTTTAAAAGCAATAAAAAAACTATCCCAAACTAAATCTTAATATATCATGATATTTTGTTATTTTAAACTTTTTTTTGTCAGCTCGTTTGAATTTTTTTTCTTACATTTTTTATCAATTATTTTGATCCGTTCAATCAGTTAATTAATAACCACTATAGAATTAGTTTAGTTATGAACTAATTTTGAAGAAGTCTTGGTTTGAGTAGCTAATATATATCTACCGATCTACGTATCTCTTCACTGTTCATTCCTCACAGCTCAACGGGAAAAAACAAGCTCCTTAACCTTTCATCTTTTCCACGAAGCAACTATTTCTTATAGCCATGTCAAGCTATCTGAAGAAGAGTGGCTACCATCGCCTTCTCTCAAGTTCGCGTTCTGAGCTTTCAGAAGAGAGCAAATTAAGTCGCCGCCGGTGCTGCACACCGCCACTTTTCTCATCCAATGCTGAAGCTGTTCTGGTCGTCAAATAAGAAGAAGAAAGCGGTTGCTAAGCCTGAGTTTTTGGAGAGATTATTGGGTTCCAACACCGGACACAGCTTACCGTTCAGTAATTTATAGTATTCGGTACTGTGAAGTATGGAGTTCGGTACTTCACAGTATCGAGCAGTACTGAGCTCGGTACTGAGCAGTACCGAGCTTAGTACTACTCGGTACTGTGAAGTACCGAGCTCATACTGAGCTCAGTACCGAGTAGGAGGTGATGTGGCACATTTTTATTGGCCTCTGAATGTCGTCCGGTGTCGGATCCCAATAATTTCCCGAATTTTTGAGGTATCTTCGTTACATGAAAGAGGCTGTCAAGTGAGGATCCTTCCTCAGCTAGACCCGTTATCTATTTCAAATGATTCAGTTTTTGTTCCCCTGATCACAACCCGTTTTCGTCATATGCAACATATTGGTTTGCAGAACTTGTAATTGTAATTTGAGTTCTTTGTTTAATAATTGCTGCAAACTGTTGCATTTGATCTGCAACGCATCTGAGCTTTATTGGGTTATTTTCCTCTTTAAAAAGTGCTTTAAGGTGCTATAATTCGGACTTTGTTTGTGAAAGCTTTTGTGCTGCTTTATAAAGCAATTTTTTAGTAGAATATTTTTTAAAAAGATAAAATTTGATACTAAAAAACTGTTTAGAAGGCAGTTTCGAATGAAATCTCAGATGCAAAATGGCATGATTTCTTAACTGATTTTGACAGCTAATTGTTAATTTCAGCCTGATGGCTTAGTTTTATTGTAGTTTTCTGAATGTTTCTCCTAAGTATTATTTTTTTATGTTTATAGTAAGCCAAGATAATTTATATTTCTGCTAAAGGGGAACATTTCATGAAAATAAGAATAGTTTCTTTTCAAATGAAACATAATTTAAAATTTAATCTTACATAGGGCTATCAAAATCGGGTCACGGGTCAGGTTCGAGTCCAACCCGAAATTGATCTGGCACTGTTCAACCCGACCCGAACTCAATCCTTTTTTGCAAACGGGTCAGTTTTCCGAACCCAAACCCGACCCGCTTCGGGTCCAAGTCAACCCGAACCCGACCCAATTCGGGTATATTTTATTAATTTTTTTATTTAATTCAATTTATTTAAATCTAAATCAAATTAAGGTAAGATTTACTTCAATTAATTTAAAATAAATCAAGATTAATTTAATTTGGGCAATAATGTTTATAATTTTTTGAAATATCATTTACTTATTTCATAAAAATCCATTAAAACCCTCCTAAATTAATTAAAAACGGGTCAAACCGGGTTGATTTCGGGTTTCCGGGTCAACCCGAACCCGGCCCTGTTTTTCAAATCGGTCGAAATCCCTAACCCGAACCCGATCGGTTCGGGTTCGGGTCAATTTTGGGGTCAGGTTTTCGGGTCGGAACAAATATTGACATCCCTAATCTTACAGATCTTGTTGCGCGCTGACAAGCCTTGAAATTTCATTTAGTTGTATATATAATTTACAACTATGGACATATAGTTTTTAAAAACATATTTCGTTTTTTATGATTCGCATAGTTATACATAATCTTGAAAATAAAAATTAATGAATGCTTATAATCGTGTGCATGTATAGTTATGTATATGACTAATGAAATTATAATGATTGCTTTGGAACTCAGTTAGCTAAAGGTGATTTAAAGTCATTTAAGCCTAAGATTAAGAAGAACTAGTTTGGGACTCATGAATGGACTAGGCTTTGTTTGAGATGGTTTTCTTACTGCTTATTAAAGCAGCTTTCTAAAAAGCTACTATAAGAAGCAATAAGAAAGTCGTCCCAAACAAAACTTAAGTTGATTAATCACAACAAAGGATTTATTGATCAATAGGTTCGGGTGTGACATTAAACCGTATGTAGATAAGATACTCAAGAAATCCCTATTTGAACTCGCAAACACCAATGTGGTTCTTATGTCATGTACTCTCGAAGTCGGACGATGGATCTTACTAGAAGTCCATTCCAAAGAACTTTGTTAACAAAAGTAAGCAATAAATTAATTTTTAATGAACATATATGTTAAATAGAAAGAGTGACCAATCATTTAACAGTTTGAATGTGATGATTGAAGATTTAAAAGACCTCTAAATATTGATGAATCTAATTATTTGATTTATATTAGAAAAAATAATTATAATAGATAAATCTTATTATTTTAAAAATAGTCATGCTAATTGAACTTCATTGTCGTCATATTATTCTCATGATTAATGCAAATATTATGATTGTCCTTCTTAATTAGCTTAACACCCAAGACTTAAAAATTATCATAACTGATTCATGCAATCTTCATTAACACTATCATTGTCAGATCCTAAATCCTAGATGAGAAAAATAATATAGGATTATATTAGGTAGTCGATAGCCAGCATAAAGCTTGTCGAATAATCATGCTAGTGTGTGAGCTCACATATTTCAGAGTGTTTGATGATGAATATAAGCTTGAGTCTATATTACTTATAGAAATTGTTATTGCTCCTTATCCTTCAATCACAAATGTATTATCATAAGATCATATCCTTTATTTCAGTCTAGGAACAATTCTTAGTTTTGTGGGCATGTCCTAGTTCTCCTATTCTTCTTCATATCCACTCTTTATCCTTCAAGAAAATTGGAGAAGTATCAGTTGTATTTTCATCATCATCATGAGCATCTTCAAACTATTTCAAGAAGAATGTTATAAGATGAACATTAATAGTAAAGTATTAGTATTAAATTGGTATATTTTCTTGTAAATATATTTTATGTATAAATTTTTATATGTAACCTCGCCCTTTTCTATTTGTATCACAATTTAGGCAAATAATTGGGCTCACTGAGTGAGCGCTATTTTAGATAAAGCAAAACAACAAGATAAATAGAAAATGCCTCTCTCTCCTATATATCTTTCTCATTTTTCTATTTCTTCTTCTTCGGTAGTCCCTTAACTTTTTCTTTCCTACTTATAATTTTATCTTACTCTTAGGCTTCATCTGTGATGACTTTTTAAATACTTTCTAAAATATTTTTCTAATACAAAAATTCTAGTTCAATAAATTTATATAAAAAAAAACTAATTTTAAAAAGACATCCAAAACCAAGCCTTATTCTTCTCATCCAACTACTTTTAATAATAATAATAATAATAATTTTATAATATATTTATAAATAGCTCAAATTTGAAGAATTTAAAATATGCCAAATTCAAACGAGAAAATAAATTTCAAATGCATCAAAATTTACATTAAATTCGTATCATTTGAAATCAAATATTAATTTTCTCACAACTCTGCATTTGTAATAATTTTCATCTGTTTTAGATCAAGCCAGGCAACTATTTAGAAACGTTGGATGAGGGGTAAGATCACCGTTAGGTGATGCAAAAAAGTGCAGAGGCCAAGATATTTTTCCGGGGCCCCTCACCTCTCTGCGATCGATGATTCGTGGCCAGAGAAATCGAGTGAAAAAGAGCCAGGTTTTAATAGAGCTGCTTCTCCACGTAGGCTATGAGGCCTTCATACTAGGTCAATAAGTAATCTAAACTGTGGATTCTGCACTCCAATGCAGCTGCTTCAGGTAAGACTTTAGCCCATCGCAGCCTCATTTACGTGGCTCAGAAAGTGCTGCGTAGGCGCGGCTTTTCCTTTATATTCCAAATTCCATTCTTTTTTCCTATGTTGGTCTCTTCGCTTTCTTTTGGTGGGAAAGCTCTGGGCTTTGGAGGGGAATCGTGGACCATTCGCTCTTGTTCATGTGCCGCTCCTTTTATCGCTATCAGTAGTGGAGCAGGCAGTGGAGGATGATCCCTATCTGATGCATTTCGGAGGTAATCTAAAATTGGAATTTTGAGCACAGCATTTGGGATTTCGTGTTGTTTTAGTGGAGCTAGGGATTTGTTTGCGCTGATTCGGGTTTGGATTTTTTTTAATTAATTTGCTAGTGTTTATGGTAACTGATTCTATTTTTGATGTGCTCTTTCGGGAAATAGAATTTTTGTTTTCTGCTGCTTTCTTAATGTTTTGGATCTTGTGGAGAGTGCGGTTGGATTTAGTCGCTTTTAGTTTTCGAAAATTTGTTTTCTTTTTTTTTTACTTGTGATGAATCAGTTTGCTTGATTTGTTTCTCAAATTTTGGTCAAATTAGAAATGGTTGTGTTTGTGAACTGCTGATTTTTTTCCTATATCGGAGCTGCATACTTATTTTGACGGAGAAGCTGTGATTGATGATTTAGTTTTTTGTTGATAAAGAGTGGAGAGGGTCCTTCGCTGTGTGACCGGTTTAGGTTTTTGGTGTTCTGCGGTCAGGACTTGAAATTCTCATCTAATGCAGCTTCCTTTATGTTTTAGATGTTTTGGAGAGTGAAATTGGTTGCTTTTGGATTGTACTGGAGTGCGTTTTTCTGTTTTTTGAGCTGCCAATGTAGGTTTCTCCTGATAAATGAGCTGTTTACTCTTTTTGAAGGGGAAAAATTATTTTCCTTCGGCATGATGTGATGTCTGGAACTTCTTGACGAGAAGGATTCTCACGTTTTTTTTTTTCCGCTGTCTAGTTGTTATTAAGTGGGGTAAAGGAAGTAGAGTCCCCCCGTAATTAGGAGTAGTTTGATAGATTTGCATACTTACACGAAAATAACACGGATCTATAACATTTAGTCATTTATAAGAATTTGTATTTAAGTGTGAAATTGTTTCCATGGTGATGGATGAATTCGTGGCTTGATTATCAAAAGGGATTATCCTTCTCAGGTAAGTATACATTTTTGGTAAAACTGATTCGTTTTCTTTTGTGGCTTGTAATTAGCACTAGTAATGTTTTTCGCATCTTTGACCTTCAATTCTTTGGAAGCTTCTCCGGTGTAGTCACATCTATGAGCTTTAATATTTTGATATAGGTGTTATTTGAGTAATCATATTTTTTTCCCTTGTCTCTTATCACAACAATTAGTTTTATTACTTTTATGTATTTAATGTAACAACTCAAACTCTTGACCATTGAGATATTATTCACTTTGAAGGAATAACATCATGGTTTTGTCTCCTTGTATAACATCCCACGAGGTCATTTATCCTAGAGTGCTCTTGTACAAGCACGCTTAACTTTGGAGTTTATAATGAAACTCTAACCATTACACCAAAAGTTGCATTGATTTTTGAAGAGTTTAACATTTTTTTCATAAGGAGTTTCACAATCTCTCTTACTTAGATAATTGATGTCCTCATAAGTTTCCTTAGCCCATAATCATCCACCATACATATAGGATTCTAAAGGTAGAATTCTCATCTTGCGGTTGGTCTATTGCTCTGATATCATTTGTAACAACTCAAACTCTTAATTATGAAGATATTGTCCGCTTTGGCCTAGTGCCACCTATTGATGTAACTTCTCAGGAGGTCACATATCTCATGAGTTCTCCTATACAAGCAAGCTTAACATTGGAGTTTCTGATGAAACTTTATCTATTACTGCAAACGACGTCCCAATGTTTTAAGAGTTTAACTTTATTTTCATAAGGAATTTCACAATTTTTTTATTTATTCCTAATCATTTTTTATCCAGCCCAACCATTCATACAATTGGATGTGAATTGGTTCAAAAGTTTGCTGTAAATTATGTTATTTGAAATTGGTTTTATTTTGAATTTCTAATTCCTTAAATTCTTATATATAAGTCATATAAGGGAGGGATGAGGAGTAAGTATGTTGATGAAGCACAGGCATCAACATGAGAAACAAAGATGGCAATATATGAATATTGTGACACAACATAATAGCAAAAAGTTGGATAAGAAACATCATAGATGTGATAGTTTCTTTAATAATTTATTTATATAATATGTATACAACAACAAACAACAACATCAAGCCTTTGTCCCACTACGTGGGGTCGGCTACATGAATCTTTTTTTCCATTGTGTCATGTTAAAAGTCAAATTCTCATTTAAATCTAATAAAGAAATATCATTTTTAATATTTTTAACCAAGTATTTTTAGGTCTACCTCTACCTTTCTTAACATAAGTCAAATCTAATACCTCTAATTTCCTAACTGGGTCATCATAAGGCAATTGTTTTATGTGACCAAACCATTTAAGGCGACTCTATCTAATCTTATCTTCCATTGGAGCTACTCCAACCTTTTCACGTATATGCTCATTTCGTATCCTATCTCTAAGGGTAAAGCCACTCATCCACCTGAGCTTCCTCATCTCTGTAACAATTAACTTAGTATTATGTTTCTTTTTTAATGACCAACATTCGGCACCATAAAGCATTGCAGGTCTCACCATCATCTTATAGAATTTTCCCTTAAGTTTGAGGGTGGCTTTTCTATCACACAACAAGCCCGATGCATTCCTCCCCTTCAACCATCCAATTTGAATTCTGTTGATAATATCTCCATCTATTTCACCATCATTCTGAATAATAGATCCAAGATATCTAAAATGTGTACTCTTATTAATGACTTGATCGTCCAAAGTCACAATCCCCTCTCTAGGTCTATTACTACTAAAATTACACTCCATATATTTAGTTTTAAATCTACTAAAGTGAAAACCTTTAAACTCTAAGGTTGACCTCCATAATTCAAGTTTACCTTCAACTCCCTCTCTAGTCTTATCAACATGAAGAATATCATCAGCAAAAAGAAATAGAGTGATTGGCTAACGCTAAATGGGAAAATGAGTGACATTTAAAATAAAGCATTTATTGTATCTATAAAAGTGAGGATCTACCAACATATATGGAAGGAGAGTGCCACTTTTGAATTCTCATTGAACTTGTCTGAAGGGAGAGACAGACCATAAACATAAGGAATGAAAATATAAGCTTTGATGACTAATATTGTGCTTCAAATGCTTGACTTGTGAGGGAGAAGGTTGGCCAAATTATAAAAAAAAAAAGTGGAAAATCCACCACACCTCCATTGCATCAGCCAGTTGGACTTGCATGGAATTAATGTGTAATGGGCTTTTGTGTTGCATCAACCCGTTTTGTAGAGATACTTCAAATTAGATGGCCACAAAGAGATTCACCATTATATTATGATCACGACCAAAGCCCGTATGTTCCCTAATGGCGTCAAACCTTTGAGTAATTAATCATAGGATATATTTGATAGACATAAAGCTCTCTATTAGCTAAGGTGGATTCAAATCTATCCCCTTAGACAAATACTACCCCAGGTCTAGAAGGTATTCTTGCATGAAGCAACCCATATATGTTGATAAGGTTCATTCTGTCCGGTTGGATCAATTACCTCATTTGACTAAGTAGACCAGATATCATGACAGCATGGGTCAACATAACCATAGGACCTTAATCGGGCTCATCTTCATTCCCCCATCACCAGTTTTAAGTATACGTGATAAATCTCAAATCATAAACTCTAAATTCTAATATCAAATTCAAATCTCTAAAGTTGTTGCTATTATACGCTTGGTACTTAGTATCTATCCCACTTCTAGCCTTAATCGAAAGTTCTTTCGGGGATCCAAGGGGGCAGCGCCATCGGAACAAATTTTGGTTGTAAGGATATTTTTTGAATTCAAATTAATAATTAAAATGATAAATTCTCTTTGTTATTTACTGAGGGGCAATTGCCTAAAGATAATAGTATTTTAAAAGTTTTAGGGGGGCAATTGGCTAAAAACCTTGTAATAAAAACTAAAAAATAGATTGAGGGAGATAAATTATCTAAAGTAATATAATATATATATATATATATATATATATATATATATATATATTATTTTTTTTTTTTGTGGGGGTGGGGGGGGGGGGCGCCACCTTAAGGGCCCCCTGTCTAAAACCCAATCTACCTTCTGAAAATTTACTCAGAATCTAAGCTCGTTAAAACTCTCTGCCGTCAACAAAAGAAAAAGAGGCGGTGTGGAGAGGTCGGGGCGTGAAATTTTCGGAGCCCACAAGTAGTCTTATCCAGATCATAGAAAGCTGATTTAAGGTTTATCTTCTTGCTTATGTATTTCAAGATCATCCTGATTTAAATTTTGATACTTCAAGCTGCTTTTTGGTAATAAAAATTCAATTCTTCCGAGGCTTTTAAAAAAAAAAAATTTAAGGCTTTTAAAATCTGTCATCTGTATATTTCTGCTAAGTTATAACTTATTTATTTTTTATTTAGGACTCGGTATTCTCTTTTCCCTCATAATCTGCCCTCATTGAATACTCATGAATGATATCTGAAGCATTACTAGATTGGTGTGATTATTTTTTAGTATGGACATTTAGTCAATAAATAAATCCCCTTTCTAAATATGACATAGTAGTTGCCTTGTGAAGGTTGCTACTGAAGAGAGGAGGAAGTCTTGACACATCTTTTAAAGCATATAATGTCAGACAATGATGCACCAACTTGTAAAGAAGGTGATGTTATTGAACAGTTTAGGGGTAAAAATATTAGTGCTTCCCAAACTCCTTACATGGGGCAGTGGATGGCTCATTGGATGCAACCATGCAAAAGTTCATCCTCTAAAGATTGTCAGCTGCATTCTGATGCTCTTGCTGATAACATACTCCATAAATTTGAAGGGCATGACTCTTCGGAACTTGATCGATTAAAATCCAAAGAGTTTAAATTTGTAAGGGTGGATATGAATCAAAGGTATAGTTTTGTAGACAAGGGTAAATCAAACTTAGCTGCTGAAGATGATCCATCATCATATGATATCAGATCAGGTGAACCTTGCGTTGATAGGGAAAAGTTTAAAATTAAGGAAAACTTTTCAATGAGAAGAAATGTGGAGCCAATCAACGATGGAAGAACATTTTGTAAAAAACTAAGTGCTCAGCAACTGACCGAGTCTTCTATAAAATGGAAAAAAATTGGATCATATTGCTGTCACAGTCTAGATGTTTCTGAGTCGAATTTTGAACACTTACCTATGCTTGACATCAATCGGGAAATTGAGACCATGTTGGCTTCTAAGGAAAAATCTGCTTATGGTGCTGTGTCTGTTAAAATGGTGAAGGAAAACTTGTCACTGTGTGAATCTATAGGCACTTCCAGTCTTGTAGAATTAGCACCTGGGAGTTGTCTTGCAGCCAGAAAAATAACTGATGATGCTGAAAAGATGATGACAACTTATGAAGGCTTCCTTCCTGATAGTGCTGTTGGTATGGATGGAGCTTCTTCTCCTGTAATTCATGGTTGCAAATATCAAAAGGAAAATATGATTGCCTGCATATTTAGTTCTGGGTTGACTAATGTAGATCCACACAATAAACTGACTTGTGTGCAGCACAACCTATGTTCTTGTAGCTCAAGTTCCAAATCAAGGACAACAGAAACTAAAGGCAAAATTTACTCAATTTCTAAAGGTTTCAGAAATTCTTGGACAAGTCTAAAGGGTGGATCCAACCATGTTCTCAGTGAGTCAAGTCCAACTGATTTCCTATATTCTTTTTCAACTGAAGGACACGGTTCAGAAGTAAAAGCTGATTCTTCCAGCTGGTTGCTACTTGACCAGAGAAGACTTGGCAAGCCAGATGGTTCTGATATAAACCATTTGCCTTGTCAAATGCCAAAGTGCTCAATACATGATATGAGTCTAACTGAATCTTGCCAAAATTTGAAGTCTGTTGAAATTGGAGAACGATTTCACAAGTTCTCTAGCACTGTAAAGTATTTACTGGTTACAGATAAAATGGGTAAGGATCAGTGCCTCAGAGAACGGACTATGGGTGATTCTCCATTCACCCAAGTTAATGGAAATACTTTGTCCAAAACAGTAACCATTCCCACCGAACTAAGTTGTGGCAAGAAAGAGAAGAGCGCTGTGCGCTTAGAAAACTTTGTAAGTGATGAAGATAGGGATGATCGGAATGACAGTGGCGTTCATCTTATGGGGGAACATAATGAGTTTTCTACTAAAGTTGATACAATAAGTACTCATCCGTTGCATGGGTCAAGTTCTCTACCAGGTACATGGCTGACATGTTTTTGCTGTTTATTTATTTTTGGAACTTGACACAAAGTAGTTCTTTCCAGTTCTAGGCTTGTCAAGGGCATGCATAAAACTTCAGCAACTCATCTTTTGTTAGTTTACCTAATGATTTTTGGGTTGATTATGTATTTATTAAGTTTTTCTACAACGTAATTCCAAGCTTCGATTTTGCAGGAGAATCTATTTCCAGTCCACAAAAGGTACGTGTTTTCTATAAGTCAGTTAAAAAATATTGTGTAGTTTAACATGGTTCATTACTTAGTTTCCTTTTTGGTTGAACATGATATATAGATGATGCAATAAAATCATTGCTTTGTTATCTTTGGTTTCATGAATGCATCAATTGCTTCACATTTAAAATGTCAGCCTTCCGATGACCAGGTTATAAAAGTAGAGGTATTAGATTTGACTTGTATTAAAAAAGATAGAGGTCGGCCTAAAAAGACTAGTTAGAAAATATTAGAAATAATCTTTCTTTATTAGATTTAACCGAGAATTTGAGTTTTAGCATGACACAATGGAAAACAAGGGTTCATGTAGCCGACCCCACGTAATGTTACAAAAGTTTGATGTTGTTGTAGTTGTTGTTGTTTTTGGAGTTTTGAATCAATTGTGTGAATAAAGCCAAAGATATGCTGAATCAATATGATCGGGAATCACCCTTTGACCTATAAGAAGATTTTCAAAAGGAATGCAAGGATAGAATTATTACATGTATAATTATTAGCTCCATTTAAACTTCATTTCTGAACCATTTGATGGTTGTTTGCTTTCTTTATTTACATGACGTTCTGACAAATCTATAGGGCCATTGTTGATTGCTTAAAGTATGATCTGGATCTGGTAGAGTCCAGTGCATGCCACCTCTGACCAGGTTAACTGGGTTTTCAGCTATATTCATGTGACTAATGTGTAATTCCAAATTCCAGTTAGATTAGTCTGCTTCATTATGTTTTTAAAATAATTTTCTTGTGTTATTGACAAATAGAGCTCTGTACAAATCGCTTACTCTCCTTTAGAGTGTTTCTACCCGTTACAGAAAAAAATAGGTATTATACAAGACAAGGATTGAGTATTTTGCTCAGTCAAATCTGTCATATAAAAAGTTATTAATAACAGCTATAATAACTAACAATACATATTTATAGCCAGAATTTGTAGTAATTAATATGATAATTAATTTGATCTAATGCATATATTGTTGATAGTTAGAAGGGTAGAAAATGGGTAGCTCAAGTTGAATGTAATGTATAAGTTGATGGACTCCCATCAACTCCAAAAGCTCAAGTAATTGAATGAGGGTCACTAGTAGTATATTAGGAACTCAACTGTTGATTAACTTCCAATATGAGATTTGTTGCGGGCTAGAATATACGCGGCGATAGAGTTTGTAAATTCGCGTCTGAGCATTGTACGAATATTCAGCACACAAACAGAAAAGAAAATGAATACCAGGATTTTTACGTGGAAAACCCAAAAGAGGGAAAAAATAAAAGCAAGTACTAATCCTATGTAGCCATATAAGCTATCCAATGGAATGAAACTAGCTTGAGTTAATACAGTCAAACATCTCAGCTCCTGCGTCACTCGAATTAGCGCCCCTCTTCTTGCGCAGAAGTTTAGGGATTTCTCATCCTCTTCTTTCTAACTTTCTTACAGTTGAGGCATTCCCCTGTTTGTTGTAGGCGGCATTCCCTACTAAAATTCAGAGCCCCTCTCCGTGTGTAGAAGTTAGAATTTTTGTAGTCGCTCTCTTCGCTTGCGCTCTTCTTCTTGCATTAGAGGCATTCCACTGTTAGAAATAGGCGGCATTCCCCTATCAAGCTTCAGTGTCTCTCTTTTGTGAGAAGTCGCGATGAGAGGCTATCTTCTAAATATACAACCCGTGATAGAAGGAGATCAATTGCTGCTTGTATGCGAGGGTGATTTGAGAAGATCTGGCGTCAATAGTATCCGCGAGGAGAGCCAGTAGACGGGGAGAATTTTGATGTTGTTTGAGCGGAAGTCTGTCGGCTATGGACTATCCAGTTGAAGTTCATTAGCAGTCAACTGACGAGTGGAGGACTGAAGGAGAGAGTTCAAGGTGCGTTGCAAGTAGCAGTCGATCGACAATCCGATGATGATTGAAGTAATGGATCGCCGGCAAATATCAGACGAAGGTCCGATGATCGTGAATGTCCAATGACATTTTGCTAATACAATATGCATATATACTGAAGTGTACCGACATCAGATATCCTTGAGTCAAGGGGTCGGAGCAGTGTATTATGCCGACGTTCTTGCAACACATATATAATGTTAACTGAGTTGAGGCCTGATGAAAACCAAATTGTAATCTTTCTTTGAAGAAAAAGTTGTATAAGATGCTTCAATGTGCAGTAGAGAAGAAGTCACTAAATCCACTGAGGATATTTGACTGTTTTGAAGTTGTTTGTTGCTTGATAATTGTAACTTGTATGGATAATGCCAAATATACTTTTACTTTCAGATTCTTGCAAAAATGAACTTGATGTACCATCTTTTGCAATGTAAGTCCAACGACATTGAATAAGGAGTTGAGAACTTGTCCTTCGGAGCAAGCTGAATTGCGATTGCATCTTTAAGACATGCTTTGACATATTGCCCCCCATTTTTTTTGTGAGGGAATTTTAGACTGCTGAAGTCTTTGTATAAGTGATAAATTTATCAATCACTTACGTTCTTGGAGTCTTTATAGAGAGAACATTGTTCACTCGGAACATTGCTCAATGATGTTGACCTTTATAAAAGAGGTCAGAAGAATCCACCAAGGATGTGAGACCTATCCGAGGTTGTACGTCGGAGCCTTTGCTCGATGACGTTAACCTGTGTGGAAGAGGTCGAGAGAATCCACCAAGGATGTGAGTCCTTTCCGAGGTTGTATGTCGGAGCCTTTGCTCGACGATGTTAACCTGTGTGGAAGAGGTCGAGAGAATCCACCAAGGATGTAAGACCTATCCGAAGTTGTATGTCAGAGCCCTGCTCGATGACGTTAACCTGTGTGGATGAGGTCAGATCAAATCCCCCAGGGATTGATCATCCGGTGATTGAGATACAATATAGATCGAGAAGTTTTTTTTTTAATCTTTCACAAGAGAAAATAATATCACAACAACGTGAACATTATATTACTGTATTATGTAAGACAGTATAATAGTTCCCTAGTATGACTTAGGGATATACAAATTGCAAAGTATTCAACACATAAGATCTACGTACGGTGACAATACAACATTTAACTTGGAAGAAGACATTAGAGATATCAAAGTAATACCCTGCTCAACATAAAAGAGACAACAAGATAAGTAGTACTGCTAATACAAATGCACGAAGTGCGTGATCATTCAATCTCTCCAACCATCTGAATATTATTCAATGGTTGTCTTTGTTTTTTATTTTGCCCCCCAGCAGGACGAGCTTCTTCTCGGATAGATGGATCTCGAATAAATTGTTGAAGGTAGCCCTGACGGATAAGTCTTTCAATCTCATTCTTGAGTTGCTTACAAGCTTCAGTAGTGTGACCACGACTACGATGAAAGTGACAGTATTGATCTAGGTTTCCTGTGTTTGACTTCAAAGGATTCGGCCATTTCAATGTATCTTGATCTCAAACGACCATCAATACATTTGCTCGAGATGTGTTGAGTGGGGTGTACTCCTGTCGGGGTTCCCATCGCGGTAATGGAGGCCTAGGAGGTAGATCATTCTTCCTTTATATTTTCTGTTGTGAGAATGAATTGTCCATCCCAGGTGTACCTTTGCGCTTCCCGTTGATTTGCTCAAACTGCTTCCTGTGAGTATTTATAGCTTCATATGCAGAAATTTATGCTTCCACACGATGGATCAGGTCAGCATATGAATGAACAATGTCGCGCATGAGTGCTGAATAGAATGGGTCAGGACGAAGACCTCCAAGAAAGACCCCTCTGAGTAATTCAGGGTCTACTCCTGGAATCTGTTGAGCCTCGGTGGAAAATTGTTGAAAATACTCCTTCAACGATTCTCCTTCATTTTGACGGATCCCGGAGAGGTGGGAAGAATCCTTAGTAATTCTTCGATTAGCCACAAATTGTTCAACGAATAGTTTGGCTAATTTGACGAATGAAGAGACCGTTCTGGATGGAAGCGAATAGAATCACGTTCGAGTCTATCCTTTAAGGGTGGCAGGAAAAACCTGGCAAAGGAGTTTGTCCGATGCTCGTTGAATATGCATGATGGTTCTATAGTAGTCGATATGCTCATACGGGTCAGTTGTCCCGTCGTAGGACTCAACGTTTGATACTTTGAATCCGACTAGAATGGGGTGCTGAAGAATGGCTTCAGTTAGAGGTGATGACTCCTGGAAGTTCCTCTGTCGGAGAGCATGCCTCACATCTCCTCGGGGGAACTCTTCTCATATCAATCTTCGCAGTTCGTGACGCAGGACATTGTGACGGAGTTCCGCAATGTGTGGTTGGGCAGAGCCTTCTGGGAGATCCGAAAGAATGCGAGGCTACCGAGTCGAGGGGGAAGGATGTGTTGAACTCGTTGTATCGGCAAGTTCATTATCCTATCGTGATTGAGGATGTCTCCTGGGTGGAGGAAGATGAATCTCTTCTTGAAGATGTTCGAATTAAACATCCTCAATCCGTGGTGGATCCCTAGGGAGAAGGACCTCCTCCTGTTGTGCCAATGTCGTCTGTCGATTCTCTCGCAGGAGTTGAAGGATCTCGTTCTGAGATTCTTCCATCTTCCGGATTCTTTCTTCTAAAGCAGGTCCCGAGGTCCCTTCTCCGGCAGCATTCTGCCCCCCAAGATGAAAAGAGGCAGACATCGGACGTCTATGGTTAATAGACTAATTTCTGGACTGGTGGGAGTTAGAGCGGGAAGCTCCAACGATGCGACTGCTACGTCTGTTGACCATTGTAGCAATACTCGAAGTTGTGGGATAGTATTTCCCACAGACTGCGCCAAACTGTTGCGGGCTATAATATACGCGGCGGTAGAGTTTGTAAATTCGCATCTGAGCATTGTACGACTATTCAGCACACAAACAGAAAAGAAAATGAACACCAGGATTTTTACGTGGAAAACCCAAAAGAGGGAAAAAAATCACGGGGCCTCACCGAGTTGAAAAGTTCCACTAGTGTTGCGTAAATTACAAGAAGCTGATTCGTCCCACAAGTTAAGACAATCAGATTTACAATAAAGTTCTTCTTAATTGAAACAAAGTTACGAAGTTGTGTGAAATCCCGGCGTTTCCCGAATATCCGGCAGAGTTCCGGCGTATTCATGCGGAGGGATGAACTCTGACGGTGGTCGAGGAGAAGATGATTCTCCTTTTCCCCTTTCTCTTCCTCTCCTTCTTACTTGAGTCCCTCTTGTGAAGAATGAGGGCTCTATTTATAGTTTTTATGGATGGCATAGCTTATAAATAGGCATGAGATCGAGGGCGAATAAAGAGTGGTCTAATGGACGGCCGATGTTGAATTCTTCGATTGTGCACCGTTCGTTGGACATTTGAAGGACTCAATGATGTTGGAATTCGGTCATCTTGAGTTTGTTGGATTCGTCTCGCCGAGCCGTTCGATTCGAGTATAAGCTCGTTAAAATCGGAGTCCGTTTGGTAACTCAAATTGTGATTCGAACCTTCCAATAGCGCTTCTAGTCTTCAATTCAGACTCATTTGGACTCGGATTGAGTTGAATTTGATGTCGTTGGGTTCGTATTTCTAAGACGCTCAGTTTGACTATAAGCTCGTTGAAATTGGAGTTCGGGTGCTTCCGGATTTAATTTTTGAAGTTTCCGGGTTGGGTTTTGCATCGAGATTCGTGCCCAATCAAGATAATTTCATGATAACGTATCAAGATTATATTCCACTTTTATGTGGATTTTAACATACAGATTCAGGCTTTATCCTTCGTTTGGGACGACTTTTTTATTGCTTCTTAAAACGACTTTTTAGACAAATTAATTTTTTTTTTACTAAAAAGTTGTTTTAAGCAGCAATAAAAAAATCGTCCCAAATGAAGCTTCCGTTTATGCATCTTTGAACTATTAACACGAACTGTTGACCTGAGGCAGATAAACTTGTGTCATTGTTACTTTATGAACAAACTCACCCTTGTTTGATTTGATGGAAGTCACAATTGCATATGATTGGAATCATGACTAACAGGCTACTGCATATTCAAATCTGAGAAATTCCAAGACTACATCTGCTTCATCTGCACGAGAAGTCTCTATTAGAAATGCAGAGATTGGAATGGCTAAGAGAGAAGAGCATCTTGCTTCTATAGATGAAGTAACTCATGCAAGCCATACCGAAGCGAGTGTTTCTAGTACAGAAAGTTTGGCTGCAGATCATATAGTTAAGGTACCAGATGTCTCCAGCTCCAGTCTTCTAGCAGATCACACATCAGGATCAGAAACTTGCAGCAGATGGATTAAGCGTCTCCGGGGTAACCATTCTGAGAGTCTTTCTCTTTGTACGAAGAGGTTCAAAAAGGGTGAGGATTCCATTGAAATACAGCAAAGTTCCAGCAGAATACAAAACCATAATCCATTAAGCTCTGGTTCACTTGGATTCATGAAGGAACATGATAATTCAGAAAATGTTTTGCCTTGTGGTGATTCAGACGAGTCTCTGCAATTGTGGATTAGGAGATGGTGCCGTAATGATCATGAAGTATCTCAGACCTTATCAACACCAAGTGTGCCGCTGGCATTGCAACCAGAAAAGCTCGGAGTTCCACATGAAAAGTTTGAAGGGAAGATGTCTGCAAGCATTGGAGCAATGGCTTTGATGGGCAGAGCTATGAATAAGTACACGCCCTGTAGATTTCGGAGAGAGGAAGCTTCTCTGGTATGGAATACTGAAGAGTGAGTGGATGGACAACCATTCGTATCAAGAGAGTTGTTGTATTCCTTGCTATCTGAATGTTCAGAAATCAAAATGTAACGGTCAAGAATGAAGCACATGAAATGTTGCTGGGGTGAGATTTACTTATTTTTTCACATATGTAAGTGAAGAAAGATTTTGGTTGCTTGAAAAGCCATTTCTATTGCATTTCTACGTATTCCTTAGTGTTTTTACTATGACTTCTGATTTATCCATTGCGTAGTTGGGTGATCAATCCATTTTGTTAATTCTTATAAAATTTAATTTAATTTTGCAATGTATTACATTATATTTTGTGATGGCTTAGACTTCATTTGGGATGGCTTTTTAGTGCTTCTATAAATATTCTTACAATCAAAATTTGTTTTGAGTGCATTTCCTCTCGAGCCCTATTTGTTCATCGTTGTACGCTTCACAGATATGTCGGAGGTTTAAAGGGGCAGCACCCCCTGGTGGGGTTTGACCTGCTCGGTCAGGTTGCGGAGTCAATGAACTTTTATTTTATCCAGTGAACGTACGCAGAGGAACGTTTGGTTTTAGGCAAAAAAAGCGCCTGTACCGAGTACCGAGGTGTACCGAGTTTTTTCAAAAAATTCGGTACATGCGCTTTTTTGCCTAAAACCGAACGCTCCTCTGCGTACGTTCACTGGATATAATAAAAGTTCTTGGGGCAATTACCTAAATATCATAGTATTTTAAAAAATTTAGTTTTTTTTTTTTTTTGATTGTCTAAAAATCCTTGTAATAAGACTAAAAAATACATGGAGGGGGATAAATTACTTAAAGAATCATATAATAAAAAAAAATTATTTTTATTTTATTACATTTTTCTTTTTTGAGGTAATTGACCCATCCTGGCCTTAAGGTGTGTATCCATCCATGCTTCTTAAAGTAGTTTTTATAGTGCAAAATTAAAATTTTTGTACTAAAAAATTGCCTTAATAAGTAGTAAGAAATTCACCTGAATAAAGTCTTTAACTAAGAAGTTGGGGGCATCATTTTGGTTTATAAAAAACTTACATAAAATTACAATTTTTTTCACGTATAAATTGATGATAGTAGCTTTGAACTTTATCAAATTTATTTTGAGATGAATATAATAGAAATTTTAATTAACTATTTATTGATTATATTCATCTTGATAATTTTTTCTTACAATGTCCTGTAATACTTTAAAATAATTTGAAAAAATTATAATATCTATTATTACTTCATAACAAATATATTTTTTCCTAATAATAATATAATTCTGATATAATAAATATATGATTAAATAAAAAAATTAAATAAGCATATAATTACATATCAGAAAAATAAATTATTTCTATTTAAGGGAATTCAAAACTTTTTATCATATCAGAACCGTTGAAAGCAGCGGACCGCAATACCCCAAACAGCCGAAGGATAAGATGTTTTACAGGAGTTAAAATCTTTTCTAATATGTTCACATGTTTAATTTAGATTTTGAAATAAAATAATTATTTCTTTTGTCAAATTTTGCTATGTTTTATAGGGATGTCCTTTGACTTTCTGTAGGCCTTTATTTCAAACAAGTTAGTGTGCGAAAACTATTCGTATTATTAGGTTTTACCACTTGCTACATTTGAGCTCAATCTTTACCACGTGCGAAGACGATGATGCCTATGTGAATCGAAGCAAGGTGATGACCGACTCGACGACGGGACGACGAGTGACTCAACCCGAACCAACGAGCGACTCGACAAGAGGATGCCGACGCACCAGACAATGCCAAGACCACTCGACTCGACCAAACAATGTCTAGATTTGGTTGCCAAAACGAGACGCAACCAAATCTAGACACCGGGTCAACTCGGGTTGATTTTAAATTGTTGGGTCAACATGAATCCGACTCAATTTTTCAAACGGGTGAAAATTTTGCACCAAGACCCGACTCCGACCTGTTTCTCAAACAGGTTGATCCCAATCTATAATTTTTGGATCAAATTTTTGAATCATATCAAATATTAACACCCCTAAAAATAAACCCTTTTAAATTACATGATAATTTAGTTCTCATAAAATATTTTGAACTTATAAACAAAAACAACACTTTTTCCGTTTAAATTTAGGCTGCATATAGAAAGTCTTTCTTACCGTTTCTAAAAATAACTTTTTAGTTAAAAAAAATAACTAAAAATTTACTTTAATCAAACGAATTCTTAAATTTTCAGGACAGAGACTGCAAATATTAAAAATTAAATAATTTAAATTATTTAAAAACATATAGTAAAAGATGAATAAATGTTATTCAAAACAATATAGCACCACAAGCAACACAACCAAGAAAAAAAAAAAGCAAATGAAAGTTAAAAATTCATAAAGCCAGTCAAATAATTAGCATAAAATCAATGTGGCTAATTATCATAAAATTTAAGCATTGCTCGACATATCTTTATTTCTGCTTTCTAAAATAACTTTTCATTACATAAAACAAAATTTTCTAGTTCAAGAAGATTTTATAATGAAAAGCTGCTTTAGAAAGCAGAAAAAAAAAGCTGTTCCAAACAAAACCTTAACCTAAAAAACAAGAAATATCATCCTCAAGTTCGCTTATGTGCCATCCTACAATATCTTCAGCAAAATTTTTCAAAAATCAGAATGGAAGATAGGGCATCTGCAAATCAAAACAAAAGGACATGCAGTAGAAGAAACTGATACGAAACGACTGTAATAGATTACAAAGCCACGAATCCACAATTTGATTCATTTAGCAATCCTCTGAAGCATATATTCACATCACAAAGGCAGCAGGCTCTTTCTTCTATCATTTATATAGATGATTTATAGTTTCATATTATATGATCTAAAAAACATCAAAAGATAACTAGTTTTCATTTATTATCGGAAAACTCAAGAGGATGGGCAGTCGCATTCATGATGCTTTCGCAAATCCAACCCTCAGGTTTCCATAGTCGAACTCTGTGTGATAGACTCCCATGAACACATCTCCCAGGATCCTGTAGCAGCCATGAATAACAGGAATTTTAGCTTATAAAATATCTTAGTTTTGAAAACTTAGACTTCAGCATTGTTTGGGAAGTCTTTTTATTGTTTCTTAAAGCAGTTTTTTAGCACAAAAATTTTAAAATTTTTGTGCTATAAAGATGCTTTAAGAAGCAATAAAAAAGCCGTACCAAACGAAACTTTCATTTGGGACAGCTTTCATGCTGCTTCCTAAAATGACTTTAATAAAATTTTCTAATTCAAGAAATTTTTGTAAAAATTGTTTTAGAAAGCAACAAAAAAACCGTCCCAAATGAAGCCTTAAACGGATGATGGAATAGCAGAGGAGGATGACAATACCAGAGAGGACCACGAGGAGGGGGAACATCCAAGGCTGTGAATCCACTGATGCATTGTGCGATAGGTCCTTCACCCACTTTTAGAACGTACTGAAAGCAAGGGGGACAAATAAAAAGAAATTGATGTCACAATTTGTTTCACATCAAAAATTTGTGGGTTGGAAAAAAAAGAAGGATCGTCAGCTCATCCAAATTTTCATTTTTCTTTCATTCCTGCTGAGCACTGCATGATCTTGAATTTTTATTCCTGTTATGTTAGATCTCTCAATTTCTTCTATAATTTTGTACACTTATTTTATAAAATGATAGAATTTGCTGGGTGATTGAATGTACTGCATATAACTTTGATTTTAAACTCCACAAATCACCTCAAATGAAATTACACAAAATGTATTTAAATGAAATAAATGAGTCTTTAAAAATGAACCGTCTAGAAAATTAAAAAAAAAAAAAAAATTTACTGGATATCAGCACCAAAACATTGGATTACCTGTTCTGCAGTGAGGTCAAATTTCTTGCCACCAATGGTGAAAGAAACAGCTGGCATTAAGGACAAGGAGTTACAGTCAACAGCAGATTCTCCCATGGGGCTGGGCAGTCGCTCGCACAACTGTAAAATAGCTAAACAAGTTTAGGACGCCTAAAGCTGTTTTTTGAAGTAAATAAGGCCTTGTTTGGTCTCCCTGCTCCTTTTTTTCGTTTTTAAGCGTAAGTATCGGAGCAGAAAACGGAAAAAAAATTTCTTCTCAGATCGGTGGAAACATGGAGGTTCGGAAGAAGGTATTTTGAAAAAGCTGTATAAACAAATAGCAAAACAATAATATTTTTGCCGATACAAACCGGAGACTGAAAAATAATGGTCAAACAAACGAGGCCTAAGTTTTTCATTAGAAATAGATTAACCTGATTGACATAGTTAAGTATTAATTCCACAGTTTGGTTCTGCTTAAGTTGATTTTGCATCCAAACAACAGCCATCTCACAAGCAGAGCACATGGGATCACTCCTTCCGAAATCATATTTGTCACCATTGTCTTTCACCACACTCTCAATGCCGATACTATTTTGCAGAAGCGTGTTCATAAAAAACAAAACAAAAAAAAGAGGCAAAGATTAATAAGGATAATCCATTAGGCTCATAAAAGTAAATAAGAAAAACCTTAATAACGAAGTTAGAGATTGATCTCTCACCCAACAGAATGAGTTCCATCAAAGGCGCAAAGGCCAAGCTTAGAGCAAATCTTCAGTGGTTGTGTCTGCAGAAGAAACATTCCAACCATATATTAACCTGCAAACGGATTAAAAAGGAAGATGGCAGAAAGGATATATATATATAAGGAGATTCAAACCTCCGAGAGCAGAAGTTCCAAAATCTGTTCCCCGTACTGGGCAACTACTGCTTTGCACTCTTGGCTAACGATACCAGTAGCTCCAATTTTATGGTTTATCTCCGTAATGATGACCTGCAAAAAAAATTAAATTATGAGAGTGACAAAAAGAAGCAACGGAACCGTATGAAGATGTCGTTTTTATAAAGACAAAGAACATCATCATTATTACTAAAAAAACTTACTCTAATTTTATAAAGACAAAGAACATCATCATGAAGCTCCAAGGCATTTTTATTTTGATTAATGGTAAGATGTCAGATGGGATCAAAGCCAAAAGCGGATTTAGACAAGGGTGTCCTCTGTCTCCATACTTATTCATTCTATGTGCTCAGATTTTGTCTGATGATTTGAGTCAAAGAGGAAGGAATTTGGGTATTAAAATCTCTTCAAATGCTCCAAGAATTTCACATTTACTATATGCAGATGATGTTCTTTTATTCTCAGAAGCAAAGCTTAAATGCATGAAGAAATTCAAAAGGATTATTGAAGACTTTAGCAGCCGAACTGGACAGAAAGTAAACGAGCAAAAATCATTGATTCTTTTTGGAAAATCTGTAAAAAGAAAGAGAAGAAAAGCTATTGCTAAGCTTTGGGGATTCAAAACTGTGAAGGAATTCAATTATCTTGGGGTCAAGATGGCTCTTCGAAGATTGGTGTCTACAGATTTTAATTTCATTTTAGAAAAAGCTGCTGCCAAACTTAATGTTTGGGGCAAGAAATCTATTTCTATGGCCGGAAGATTTGTTTTAGTTAAATCGGTAATAGCTTCGTTACCGATTTTTATGGCTACTCATTCTTTAATTCCAATGAATATATTAAAAGAGTTGGACAAAGCTTGTAGGAGTTTTATTTGGGATAAACAAGGTGGTAGTCACGGCTTACATTACGTGGCTTGGAACAACTTGTGCAAAAGTTGGAAGGAAGGGGGTCAAAGCATACATTCTTTGGTCAATATAGCCGGTCCTTTAAGAACTAAGTTTGCTTGGAGCTTCATGAAAAAAGAAGATTCATTACTGAATAAAACCTTAATGGCAAAGTATGGACTGAAATTTTGGGAAAAATCTGGCCCGAGAAACTGTTCTGTTGCTTGGAAGTTAGTAGCTAATGGAGCACAATTTCTGAACCGGATCTCTAGATGGAAGGTTGCTAACGGCAAATCTATTAACATCCTTAAAGATGTGTGGATTTTTGATAAAAGTTTGGATAAGTGGCCTACTTATATTGCAGTGGGGAATGTTGAGTTTCCGTCACTTGATTACTTTATTGATGAAGGAGCGTGGAATGAAGATCTCTTACAGGAATTCTTTGGGAATTCTTTGATTAAAGTTATTCTTCAAGTGCAAATTTATCCTGAAAATGATGAAGATACTTTGGAATTGATTCACAAATTTTCAGGTAGGAGTATTACGGGTCTGGCTTCTTCTTCGTTGGAAATAGAAAGGGTGGAAGTTGATTATGGAGGATGGTTAAAAAATCTAAAACTTAATTCTAGAGTGGAATGCTTTTGGTGGAGACTTTTTAACAATGCATTACCCACTAATGCATTTTTAATGTACCGAAGGCTGCTGGGGCACGATTCATGTCCTAGAGGATGCAATGGAGAGGAAAACTTAGAACATGTGATGGTTCTATGCTCTAAAATTCAGCAAATTTCAGTTGTTCTAAGAGACTGGGGATTTCCGGTTCCAATGTTTAATTCAACTAGAGATTGTAAAAACAATTTGAAACGGTTATCAGTGGATAATAGTTTTATAGCAAAACTTTATTGCTCTATGATTTATTGGTCATGGAAAAGCAGAAATCTGATTAAGCATGGTGACCGTGAGCTAAGCTTGAATACTTTAGCTGCTAATTCTATTAGCTTTGCTTCTAATGCCGACACTAATCTATTCGTGGATCACTGGGGTGTTAACCAGCTGAATCAGCTGTCCTCATTTTGGCACCCTCCTTCCCCAGGATGGATTAAAGTCAACATTGATGCATCTTTAACAAAGTCTTATGTTGGTGGAATTGGAGGAGTTTTTAGAGATTCTAAAGGAAGATTTTTGCTTGCTTTTGGAGTATCTTGCACCCATTGGGATAATGGTACTTTGGAGTTGATGGCTTTTCGGTCCTTGAAGATGATCATCATGGAGTGGATGTTGGATGCTAAAGGAATCTTGGTAGAAAGTGACAACATCAATGTTATTAAGCATCTGCAAAAGGTAGTGGATCAAAAGAGTCGAAATGATCCAAATGAAGGAATGGAAGATATTTCATTCTTGGATGGATTTGGTAAGTTTCTTTTTCATTTTGCAAATAGAAAATGCAATAAATTAGCTAATTTTTGTGCTAATCATGCTTTAGAAGGTGATTTTTGTTGGGAAGAGTTGGGTTACAATAATATTCCTCCTATGTTTCTTCAATTGTTAAAGGAGGATTGTGATAGCCGTCCCAAACGAAGCCTTAATCTCCCTCCAATTTTCTTAAAACTGAAATTAACTTCAGTTTTTCCTAAATCCCTCAAACCTAAGTGGATCTACCCGCCCCTCTCCCTACTCTTCTCTCCCTCTACCCGAGCCCACTCCCTCCCCTCTTTGTTTGGCCGAGCTCCACCAAGAAAAGACTCTTCTACCGCCAAATTCATCCACACCGCAAGAACTTCTCATAGTCATGAATGGCCGATCTGGAGCGTGATTACGGCATTGCATACGATCATCAAGGCGACATTGATGTCATCCGATTACCGTTCTTTGATGTTGGATTCGGCTTCAACCACACCGTTGAGGATTACTTAAACCGGATTCTTCCCACCCTCGTGGACGTCATCAACGAGCAACTTCCGGCGGACAAGTGGATCATCAACGGCCGAACACCTTCTTCTCCAAATCCGACTTCCTCCCCGGCGATTAGTCCCCTCGGCATTACTTGTCTAATAGTGGCATCGTTGAGTTTGTGCACCATCCTCTTCCGCTAATCGAGTGAATCCAAGAGTGAAAGTGAGGGACTTCGGGTGAAGGATTTATATCTTAAGCCTTGGATTTTTGTTAAGAGCCATTTGCTTTATTACTTATTGGATTAATTTTGTTTGTTTCATGTTGCTTCTAAATGTAATTGATTGGCGTTGTTTAGTTCTTCCATGGAAATTTCTTGCGATCTATCTTGAAAAGCATTTGTTTAAAATTAGCAACGCAAGTTCACAAGCATTAATTTCTAACAAGCAATTCTTTCATCGTATCACATCAACATTAATTAAGCTCAAAAATGCCTCAAGGGCAACAAAACTTTTTAGAGAAGAAATTTGGATAAATTCCAAAGAGAACTGGAGAATATCATTTGCCATTTTAATGCTCAATTCTAAAGACAATTGATCAAGAATTATAAGCAGTGATTAGTAACTGCTTATATGCCTCGCAAATATTTCTTTACTTTGTTTAGAAAATTGTCCATATTCGATGAGGAAAAATACTTATTTCCCATGATTGAACTTCTAGCAGTACAAGTGATTCACTATTCACTCTAGCTGCCTTCAAATGAACTTAAATGAAAAGGGATTCAGTGAAGCATATACTTTGCTAGAAAAATGTAGCATCCAGCATCAGATTTTTCGCAACAGAAGATCATCTTCAGCTAATGTTCACATATAGAGCAAATCATTAGGAATGGCCTGGAGTAGTAATATTTGAGCAAGAAAATCAAGTAAAATCGAGAAGAACAAATTCGCTTTCTACATGATAGACATGTTTTTAGAAATTTAATATCAGTAATGGAAATTAGGGTAGAAAATGAGAGAAAATGAAACATAACAGAGGTCTAGACCCCAATCTCATTAACATCCATTTCTGCCTCATGCCATCTCACCAAGTCACCATATGAAATGAGATTTTCTCAAATTTGTCCAGTAGAACTACTCGAACATGCTAGTGATCTTGAGACGAGAGTTGGGTTTGAGAAAGAGATTGACTTTGCTTCAAAGATGAGATTGGTAGACTAGGTGTTGGATTGATACCCACGATCTATGGGGTAGAACTCTTCCTTCTTCTTTACTGAAATCAAGAAAATATGTTACAAGAAAGCCTAAAATAGGAATTCAATCCCCTTCTGGAACTTAAGGAGCAAAATTCTCCAAGGAAAGTGCTATTAGACCCTTGGGAAGAAGGATCTACATAAAAGAGAATATGTAAGTGTCTAGAAAAAAATGTTGGAAAAAGGATGCCACACATGCCCCTAATTTATATATGCATGTCAAGCTCAATATGTAAATGTCTAAAAAAAATATTGGAAAAAGGATGCCATGCATGCCCCTAATTTATATATGCATGTCAAGCTCAACGCTACAAGCTGCGTTGTACAAAGTACTACCACTCTAGAGTTGTTACATTTTCAAAATTAAAATATGTGGCTCACTTAAATATGGCACCTGCCTGAAGGCAAATTCCTCCTACACGGGTCGTGTAGGGCAAGTATGTTGTTGCCATATATAACTGCCAAGTTTTGATTGATGGGATACATCAGTCATGAGCTGCAATTAGAGCACTAGTATTCATCTACTAATAAGCAAGGACTGGGTTCAAAGTGCTCCACAAATCGGTTATTAGCATGCAACTTGCCTTAGATGGTTACCCTTTGTCAAGTTCTTAGCCGCTTCTTGTTCAACTCATAAATGATTGCTCCAGATGATTCTTTTTAAGCTGCTTCTTATGGAAACTTAATCCAATGAAACAGTTTGGCTCAATTTGGCCAGCCCAGATGACCCAATCGATAGTGGCATAGCTCACCTTGCTTAATTTATTTGATCAGCTTAGCTCATGCTAATATAAGTATACATTAGTCCTCAGATTTCTTTGTGCTCCAGAACCAACTACAAAGAAATGAAAGAAAAGATCCTATATCCAATCATTATTCACCGAAGCATGAATCAAAACAACAATAAATTTGAGCTGCGAATTTGAAACATCATTTACTGAGATCATGACATGTTGACGGTTTTTCTTGAAGCAAAGAGATAAAATATAAAGAGCTTATCCCTCTCAAATTTCCTTGTTCTTTCCTGAAAATTTCCATTATGCTTCAAGAGCATCTTAATTTTCTGCATTCAGAAGCAGAGCCCTACATTGGGTACCCATACCCACACCCAGCCATATACCCACCCGGGTATGGGTATGCAAGAATCATGCAACCCCTTTTGAAAAATAAGGAATTATTTTTTTTAATTCACAAATTGTATTTTAAGTACAAATTTAAGCTCTCATTTTTATACGATATTTCTCGAGTGAGTCTCCTAAACTATCAAGCAATGTCACAAGTCTCATATCTCAAGTTCTATTCTTGTCCTCATAAGGACAAAAATCGACAAGACGAGAACCTCAATGATGATCATGTTGAGACTTGAGAGAAAATATCAATTGAATGGAACCTTATCTACAAAATGTCCCTAAATTCTAAAGCTAGTCATTTGAGGCTTGAACTCTAATAAAATTCTAAAACTCAATATTTGTCGGTAACTAAAAATATTCAAGTGAAATCTAGTCTTCATAACTTAAAACAATATCCATCCATCATCCACCACCATTTGACAAGGATGATAACGTTGAGAATAGCCTCATGTCACTAAGAGGTCAATGTCTTGTCAAGCATATTGCTATGATTTATTCTTAAATAATTTCTTGTCAATAAGGACATGGCACATGTCCTCCAACTAGTGGTTTTACACCAACACCACAAGTAAATAATTAGATTGGGCCCTCTAACCATGTAATTTGGCAACAAAATGGCACCATTAAATTATGGTTATGGACAAAATCAACAACTTCACTAATAGCTAAAAAAATCTAAAGTAATGAATCATAAAGGGTACTTGATAGGGCACAGAACCCTGTATTATCTAAGATCGACTTAAATATGTCAATTTAAACAAACATCCAACCAAAGTTTAAAAGGTTCCCATAAACAAAGCAACTCATAACCACTGACAAAAATCTTTTAGTCAAGTTGGGTCGACTATCTCCCATGATGAACTAGACCAAGCTCCATGACAACCTGAGTTGACAAAACCATGAGATTTTGATCGAGTTTGTTATCCTTCCCTACACCATACACTTTAAGTTTAAAGTAGTAATTTTTAACTCTACACTAAATTTATTGCTACTATACGCTAAGAACTTAGCTTCTAATAATTAGCCATAATGAAGAGTTCTCTCTAATTATCGGATGGGCTAATTAATCATACAAGTTGGAGCAAATAAGAAACCTGGGACTAGATCATAAAGTCCTCGTAAAATGAGAGTGAAATATCTAGATGGTGTCTTATCTTTAACCTACCATCTAAAAATTAACCCATAACACCAAACTCTAACAGCAGAATCGGAGCATGAATATTCGGAGCCCTCAAGCCCTTCGTATCAGCATGAACGCATTCATGCAAAAACTCCTTAATATAAGCATGGGATTATATGCGGGCACTATCTAAAAGGGCTCGATGATTGAGCTAGGAAAATTAGTTTTAGGAAGAAAATTAATATGTTTTCCTGATATATTAAAATTTTGATAAATTTTACTTGTTCTAGGATCTAAGCTTTCTCATAAGCGCTAAGTCGTAAGGATTAATTATTAAAACCCCACCCCTGCCCAAAAACCTCTTTATATTAATTAGTACTCATTTCATGTAACTGACATTTCAGATGTTCCCTTGCGTAGTTGCTTCATGCATAAGAATTAGATGAGCGAGCTGATGGTAAATCATGTTGAGACTGCATGATTTCGTTATCCTGGAATTTTTGAATGGACCCCAAGCCAAAATTAGAGACTTTACAAAGACTACAAGCATTAAGTAAAGAGCATGTTGTGATTACGGACAACGAGCCAAGGAACCAGGAACGTGATTGTTGGGCACTAAGTTAGGAATTTGTCACGACTATTAGCATAGAGTCAGAGATCCTTGATTGTGATTGCTTGAAGACTTGTTAGAAAAATCCACATTTTGATATCCCAAACAATCATTTAAAAATCAAGGGTTTTTTTTTTTTTTTTTTTGGTAGACTATGCTTCCAGATATCTTGGGTTTATTGTTCAAAGTGAGGGTGAAATAGATAGGGATATTATTAGTAGAATTCAAGTTGGATGGTCGAAGTGAGGGAATGCATCGGGCCGTTGTTTAATAGAAACTGCCCCTCTAAGGAAAAATTCTATAAGATGGTGGTGAGACCTGCAATGCTTTATGGCACAGAATGTTGGCCCATTAAAAGAGAAGCATAAAAGTAAGCTAAGTATTGCAAAGACAAGGAAGCATGGGTGGATGAGTGGCTTTACTTTTAGAAAAAGAATGTGAAATAAGTATACATGTGAAAAGGTTGGAGTAGCTCCTGTGGCAAATAAGATTAGAGAGAGTCGCCTTAGATGCTATGGTCACATAAAACGTCACTCCTCCTATGACTCGTTTAGGAGAGTAGATGTATTAGATCTGGAATATGTTAAGAAAGATAGAGATAAACCTAAAAAGATTTGGTTAGAAAGTATTAGAAATGGCCTTTTTTATTAGATTTAAATGAGAATTTGACTCTTAATAAGAAAAATGGAGAAAAAAGATTTATCTAGCCAACCTCACGTAGTAGGATAAAGACTTGATGTTGTTGTTATTGTTGTTATTGTTGTAGACCATGGTTCCATTGAAGGGTGAGGATATGGTTGTCGGGTAATATGGGCTATGGACTCAACTGCTCTGTACATTAACCTTAGTTCTCTTAAGAAACTCTGTATCTTAACTTAGTTATGACCTAAATTGTCAAAACAAATAACAGGTAAATTATTTAAGTTTACCAAAACGGGTAGCCAACAATATGTTTCATCCTGTGACTGAAAAGAGTTGCACAAGAGTGATGCTCTCAAAGGGTGCAAACATCTAGATGAAGGCTTGAGTTTAGAAGGGCTACAAACATAATAGAAAAAAGTAGAAAACAATAATTATTATCAATTTTGCAAGATAAGTATCTGGAGTTTCCAACTCACACCTGACCAAATGAAGCAGCAGCGACAGTCTCCTCGGAAATGTAACTGAAATAGTTCTGGACAGGCCCTCCCAGTTCTGTCTCAATTATCTTCATCGCCACTGCTCTTGGAAAAGCTGGAATTTTGTCATGCAAATCAGAAAGTGCCTGTAGGGAAGATGAATGAACAGACAAAGCCATAGAATTGTTAAAATGACACTTATGATTTTTGCTACTTTGCAGAAGCATATCAAAAATACCAGAAACAAAGAATAAAACCAGAAGTTGCCTTAATTAACTTCATTAAAGCAATCAAATCAGCAACATCTGAACATTTTCACTGAGAAGTAAAATATTCCTAAGGATGCTAAATGTGAGAATAGTATAATTCATAACTGTTGCTGATGAATAATTTATTGGCTGCATTAAGCTGAGGTCAATTTAACATTATTGTAAGACAAGAACATGCATCCAAATTCATCTCAATCCAAAAAAGCATGCAGCAACAGCAGCAACATTAGAAAGTTATATCAAGATTAAATCCTTAAAACATTAACACCAAACCTTGGAAATTTCTGAACCAATTATGTCAGGCCGTGTAGAAAGTGACTGGCCAACTGAAAAGAAAACAATATACTTGGTAAGTTACCAGCTTAAATGAAAATTTGTTATAATTTAATAACACCTAAGTGAATGGAAATGTTTAATAAGATGATGATTTGAATTTGTGCCTGAACTATGGGAATGGAAAACAACTTATCGAACCTTTGATAAAAGTTGGACCAAGATTCAACATTGTTTCTTTTAAAAGCTGACCAACATGATATGCTCCATCACTCAAGGTGCTATTCTCTCCTACATCTTTCGTACTTGACTTGAGAATTCTTGCAAGCCGGAATCTTATAGCAGCATAAGAAAATGAAGAGAGCACCTTCAAATGCATCACGGAAAACAGTAAAGCTCAAGTCATCAATAGGTTCCAAAGAGTACGGTTGATTATAAAAAAGGCACTTTGATAAACAAATACAAGGACAAAAGGTATAGGCGTATAGCTGATGGTCAATAGCTTTAAGAGAACGTACGAAACTTTTGCAAAGCATCTTCGCCACCTAAGTAGAATATATGAGTACAGCATCACCATCTCTTAGAAAATAACCCAATTTTTTACTCATATTCATTAGTAACTCACCTAGCTGAAGATCTGTTAAAAAGGTTAAGCGTAGGGAGAGAAAAAAAATAAAGAAAACGGGAGTGAGAACAATCTCCAAATTAAAAAACATGAGTAGTTTAGCAAAAATAGTGTTTGAAGAAGGTAAATAGAGTAAAAAAAAAGGAAAAAATCATCATCTAAGGAGAAGACAATAAATTTTAATGAAAAACGTTAGAAAAGAATGTACCTCTGATGCAGATGAACCGAGTGTTCAAGCCAGTAGGTTTAAAAACTTAAATGTGGGTAACAAAAAAGATGAAAGAATATGTTAAGAATATTGGAGAAAAGCACGAGCCTAAAAGCACAGAAGCACACGAGAACAAGAAAAATACTACAATTTTTTCTCACTTTTACCTCAAAAGTATTATTTCCTCTCTTTTTTTCCCTTCAAACTTAAATATGATTCCTCTATCAACTATACTCACCAGAAATAGAGGGAAACCTAGAACCTCCTATATCTAACTACCTTATCAGTCACCAAACACTTTGACAACCAACAATTTCCTCTTTTAAAGGTCTTTGGCTTCTAAGTAACATATTTGGCCCTTCAATGCTAATTTTCGACCACCCAAGAGATAAATATCATTGTATGTCACCGACCAAGATAACAAACAACGTTTGGTCACTCCAACGGCAACATATTTAGTCTTCATGCCTCTACGACTGGTTGAATAAAGCAGAAGAATGATTGGTGTTTTTCAACTCCATGCAACCATCTCCTTATAAAATACTTAGAGTGGTGGATAACAAACTTGTCGAGTTAGGTATACGACATTAAGTGATAGTGATGTAAAACGTACATGTGAAGATAAGTTGCTTACGGAAATTTGCACACTTAATATTCCTAGAACAAATAATTATATCTTAATGGTGAATTTAAACGACGCAATAAAACACAAAGAGCAGTAAGACAAGCTTAGGCTAAACCACATGTATAGAAATTAAGATAAAAAAAATAGCCAACTTAATCTATGTTGCATGCATGAGTGGTTTCAACAAGAAATCCCTACACTAACAATAAGACTAGTCACTACAAGGAGATCTCTCACTCAACTTATCTAGTTAAGAGGGTTTAGCGGAGAGACTGACGAGAAATTCTTCATGAATCATTTATAAACACCAATTGAAAGTGACTAAGAGATTTAATGATTTGGGGGAGAGTTTATACCAAATAATTAGAGAATACAAGCTCTTCGATTGACATAAGGCACTGGATGAAGAGTAATCAGCAACGTCAAGGCTTGGACACATTTAGGAAGGTGATCAACTGATCATTGATTTTTGGACATCAGGGCGCAGAAATGGCACCAAACTGATTGGACAGCAACTGGAGACGTGTAGGCAGCAGCAAGTGTTGGTTGAGAACCCTTTTGCCTTCTGAATACTTCAACAGCGGTCTGAACAACAACTAAGGAGATGGGACAGCGTCTTGCCGTTAGAGGAGTCTTAGGCACACAATACGGGCCTACTGGGGATGCAGAGCAGCGGGATTATGCTATTGTAATTCCAAGCAGCATCAGGAATCCTACAAGAAAGAGACGTGGGGGGGGGGGGGGGGGGGGGGGGGGGGGGGGGGGGCTAGGGTTGGGGTTCTTTGGGTTGAAACAAGTAGCTTGGGGGAAAGGGGATGGGAGGGAAAATCTGAAATTTAATTCAGATTTTCTTTAAAATTTTGATTAGTGTGTGGGCCCCACTTATTATTTAGCCTGAATTCCCTCTCCCTTTTCTCAATGGCGGCCCTCTCCATGCTCTTTTTTCTCTCTCAATTTCATTAATACCTCATTAAGCCTCCTAATTACCTCCCACAATTCCCTTTCATCCACATTTAATTTCTCCATTAAAATTTGAATTTAAATTCAAATTTCATCCGCCAAATCCCTTAATCTGAAAATTAATTTTAGATTTCTATTCTCCCTCCCTAATCCCCACCTAAGCCCACCCGCCCCTTCTCCCCTTCCTCCCACCTGAGCCCCCTCTCCTCCCTCCCTCTTGGCCGGATTCCTCCTAAGTGACGGCTCCCCCTCCTCAACGTTTCTACGCACAACAAGGAATCTTCATGGTCATGCATGGCCGATCCAGAGCGTAACCATGGATTCATGATAGATAACGTATTTGTAGAGGTTAGATGGAGTTTTCAGAAATGAATGATAAACATATGAAACAAATTGCATAGGAGTTCCCTGATTTTTTTTAGTAATTTGATCCATCAATGGTAAATATATCATCATTTACCACCATCCTTATCTTGTTGCATTGTTGCTCTATATTTCTGAAGTATTGTATGCTCTGCAATGCCAAGTTACCCTTTCGAAGCTCCTACTCGACAAAAACGTTATTCCTTATTTCACCTCTAGGACCATCAATAATAGTTTTTTAACAATTGCTCCCATTATTTCGATAATTGATGTCAAGCACATCGTATCATCCTAGCTTTCATATGATATTACCATAACACCCTTAATCACCTTCCAACAATCAATAAAGAAGGTAAAGATGCAGCCTTCTTCACAAATTTGTCCAGTCAAGAATAAGTTCCTCACCAAGCAACGAAAAAGCCTCACATTGTAAAGCTTCCACATAAATCACTCTTCACATCACCAACTCCTATAAAGTTTAAGAGTTTACCATCAGCAAAACGAATCTTCTTGCAATCTCCTGCAAAATAATTAAATATAAACTATATGTGGGGTTGAATGAAAGGATGCACTTGAGTCTAAGATCTACAACTCCATAAGATTATCTGCATTAAGGACCAATGCATCATAAATCACTTCACTTGAATCAACATTTCATCCATTTGATATATGTGATACAGTTAATCAACCCATCCTACCAGAACCTGTCACGACCTGGCCCGGTTAGCTCGTAGATACGAGGCGGGAACGAGATCGGACATGAAATAAAATTTAACTAATCATTCTTCAAACAAATAAAACCATTCATTGAAACGTGCGAAGCCTAAAACGACGTTTTCGGGTTTTACAGAACCTATGCGTTCATTTAAATCAACACCAATAACTAATTTTTCTTCCTTGTATATACGTTTATATGATTTACCAACACATTCAAAAATTTATTTCTTTAGATTCATTTCCAGAAATCAAAAGAAGCGATAATAACAAAAGCCATATTTTTCCATACATAAAATGGTGGTAATCTACCAAACACGTCAATAACAACATACAAGTTCCAATACCTCAAGAATTCTAAACATTAAAACATGAGGTCGACAACTGAAATAATCTTCGACTTTTTCAGGGTCATAGAACTCAGGTAGAGGCATGGTCCAAACTTGAAAAAGATGTTGGATGTAATCAGCATAAGACTTCAGTGCTTCGAGATCAGCCATTAATGTGTCCAAGCCAGACAATCCTGCTAAAAGTAATTAAATGACCCAGATGTAAAATGCATCATTCAGAATAAAGCAAGATTGACATGTAACAAATATTTAAAATTTTCAAGCATAAGCAAATCAATAGGTGAATTAGAATTACAAAAATAAATGTTTTAAATAAGGCATAATAACCTTGATAAATTTGGGGTTTGTTTGGCAAAAAACAAATAAGTGTTTTAAATCTTTTAGTGCTTTAAGATTTATTTTTAATAAGCAATTTGTTTTTTAGTAGAAAAGTTCTCAAATTACAGAAACAAGTATTTTGATTTTGGGTAATCACCTCTTGTAAGAAGCGCTTAATTATCAAATGACCAAAACAATCAGTGCATCTAGAAAATGTAATGGAGGGCATGATCTTTTACTTGATCGGATATGTTTATTTTCAAGGTTGCCAAAATCGCCAAATAAAAACTTGAGGGGCATCTTTCTTAGAAAATAAAGAATTCTATAAGCATGAGCAAATTTTAAATGAAGTTTATCAGACAAAAAAAATAGATAAAAGTTCTTAAGAGCATGCTTGACATGCTTTAAGCAAGTTTATTCTTATTTTCCAAACAACCCATTATAAACATAAATGTTTTTTTGTTTCTTGTCAGGTCTATGTAGCACATAAACACAATCATTGGCTGTTCATAAAATACGTGTACAATTTCTTAGTTTGTGCAAAACTAAAATTCTTTCTGAAAAATCCTTCGCCATTTATTGACTTAGTTTCTTTGCTCGGTTTCCCACTTCTTTAGATCAAAGAAGATGACCACCAAAACAAAATCAACACGCTGGAGCAGAACCCAAAGCTCCTGCAGTCCTGCATTTAGCTTATATCCAACTTGTTAAGAACCATGGATAATTAATTATAATTTTTATCGCAATAGCAATACCCTTTCAATAATTACCATATATATTCTTCATTATTAATTATTGACACTGAGATAAACTTCTAGAAGACTAATCTAACTCAGAAACCAATCCCACACTCAGTAGGAAGGCATTGTCACAAACCTAAATATACATGTTGCAACTCACCAGCATTACTAAAAAAGAAAACACACGAGAAGACTAGTCAACTAAAGCTATCTTGCATATAAAAGAACCGGACCTAAGACGATATTGGTCCATTCGAAAAGAACTTGATTATTAGTGCAGTTTGCACAATCAAATTTTTCTGAAGGACTAGTCTCTAGCCCTCATCATACAATGCCAAAAAAAATCCGAATAAGTCATTAGCTACTGAAAAAGCGATCCAAAAACCCCGGAATAACAACAACAGCAACAATTCGAAATAACCATTGACATTTCAGAATAGCATAACATTGTTCGACAATAAAATGACACTATTATCTGAATCACGCCTATCTCCATGAAAAATTAAACCAATTAGGGCACGATAAAGCCTTGAAAGGGAAATACGCGACATGGAACCTGGAGGATAAGAGACACTGGGCCACGAGGACAGCTGCCGCCGGGTGTGGTGGGCTTCCTGGTTTTCGAAGAATCGGAGCCAGAAGAAGTCACTAAGAATCCCGGACACGTACTCGTGGATTGGACGGAGTGGCTCAGCAGCCAAGCGCAGCCGCTCGCTGAAGAACTGGCGGTCGCACCTTACAACTTGGAGAACATTGTCCAAGGCTGCGCGCTTCTTCTTGCTCTTTTGCTTCTTCACTGTGAAGCCTGAGCGGGCGGCGATGCGAAGAGGCGGAGGCGAAATCACCGCGACAGTCGCCATGGAGGTAGAGCGGAGTTAGTGAGTTATGTGGTCAGTAATGGCGCTTCAAATGGGAATGAACTAAGGGATAAGAGGCGGTGGCAGGAGAGATGAGTTGCCGGTAGGATCACTGCGGATCCCAAAGAAATCGAAGTTTCGAGCAGCAGAAAATTATGTTTCCAGCAATTTGGCTGGGTGATTTGGCGGAGTCTGGACTCTAGCTTTCGGTGATTACATTTAGGGGCTGTTTGGCAACAAGTGGGATTTAATAAATTCTGTAAATTCGAAATGTGTTAAATTTTAAAAATTGTTTGGTATGTTAAATGTTAAATCTTGTTAAATCCTGAGAAACTGTTTGGTAACATATATCAGGATTTATGGCGGTTAGGGATTTAAGTTTAAAGGAGATATTTATGAAATTAAGATCATTGCATAAAACATAATAAAATTAATTTTAGGTCATATAAAATGACCAAAAATTAAATAAAAAATTAATTGCAAACTAACATGGACCAAAATGAGAGTTGAAATATTAATTAAGTTAATTATATTAATATTTAATTACTAATTATATTATTAATTAATCAATTAAGTTAAATTAGATTATTAATTTATGCACTAATTCTACTATTAATATTTAATTAAATAACTTAATTATTATTTGTTTAAATTATATAAATTAAGTTAATGGATAATAACTTTGAGG